TTGTCATTGGCATAACCCATAGAACAAACAAGGACACAAGCGAGAGCAAAGTTGGAGTTTGTTGATATCACAAGCCAGTGGCCTCTAACCTCAATTTCTTTCTCCATCAAGCACGCCGGCCCCTTTGTCAGAGGTCGTGCTTGCAAAGGGCTGGCACGTGCACTGGGGCCGACTTTGCTTGTCATAAGAGGGCTGTCTGCGTTTCGCTTGATTCGCAATGCACGGAGTGGTGTGTGGAGCACTTGAGTGCTGTTGGCGTTTCACTTGGCTTGCGACAGCTGCAATCCGCAGAGTGATATGCGCAGCGCTCGAGTGCTGGCAGTTACTGCTGTAATATGTAACAGATGTTACATTGTTCCATCTGTGAACAGCCAAAGCTTCAAAATACAAAGTTGCGCTCATAGTTTACAATATGCAGTGTCGTATTCGTTAATGAATTTTTTTTATTCCCAAAAAGCCCAGGACCAATGGCAGGTCATTGTGAGAAGCACATTGTGGCCTCTTCTTCATTTTTGCATCCGCTGCAAAGCTTGTATTTATTTCGTTGAATGGGAAAGTCGGGGAGGGGGGGGGGGGGGTTGCAGTGAGACTTCTATTAATGGGGAACTCTGCACACTCCTACGGCCAGGTCAACATGCTGTAAACTAGTAATGTTCAGTTCTTTGGTAACAAGGAGAAAATTATTCATTTTAGGCCCCTATAGTTTGTGCAAGACTACATTCACTTGGTTGCCCTCATTGTAAAGAAAAAATTATTTGGAATATAGATGAACTGGAACAAATGCAATAAGTATTACAAAATTGTGATCGACAGCTTGCTGCTGTCCTTGAGAAGGTCATTGCGCATTATACAGGCACTAAGATATGGGCTAAGAAATTTGGAGGATATCAAGAAGCTTCAGAAGACTGCATGTGGAGGTAACGGTGGTAGCCATGTTTATAGTTGGTATCGGGAGGAAAAAATAAAATTATGCAAAATTTGAAGTATGCAGGGAACAGGTAGTCTAATAAGATTGTAGAATACATGTAAAAAAAAGGGAAGCATTAACAAATACTGTAAATTATTCGGTGGCATGATGAAATTGTGAAAAGTTTGACCAGCTGAAATTTTCACATCTTAATCTACATGTAACTTCCTATAAATGTGGTTTCACTGCAGTGGAGTAATGTTGTACCGTGAATACAGTTGTGCCAGGGAAACCTGTACTGCCGCGAAGCCCGACTTCACTGTGAAAGGAACATATTACTCTCACATCGATTCACAATATTTTTAAGTTTAAAAGCTCGTTATTCCGACTTATATGTGTCAAGTACAGTAAACTTTAAAATGTAACATATTTTACAGGTCATCACTTGCATTCTACCAAAAGTAAAATCCTGCAACTTTTCAAAGTTGTTTCTACTTTTTTTTGAACCAAAAATAATCTCATTTGCCCAAGCCTTGTTTCAATTTTAAAGATACATTGTGTAGGTTAGTTGGGTTATGACAAATATTTTCATTTTGCTTTATATGTGGTATATACTATTAAATTAGAAATTATTTGACCAAATCAATATTTGCTTCGAATTTGCCTCTAACTTAAAATTTACTATTTGCACAAGCTTGGTATTTACTTGTGCTTCTGTTCATTCTAGGGGCAATATTTTGCATACATGGTATATATATTTTCCTACTAATCCACTCACTTCATTACACTTTTTTTTTACAATGCCCAGGTCTTGTGAAGGGCACTTTAATTAAGAATATAATCAGTAACACCAACATAATCATGAAAATTATAGACATTTCTGGAAGGGAAAGCTCCTAGGTTACATCACTCAAAAGTTTTATTTCACTGGTTGCCATTTTCTGTGATTGCCTTTATCAGCCTCCTGGCATGTTATTGGTGCTTTTCTATACTTATTCATTTTTTTTTATCTTCAAATATTGCAGGCTCTACTTGGGCCCAAGCAGGAGTGGGAATATCATTAAAAAACAATACCAACAATAAAGCTTACAACTATCGATAACCTAAGTAGTAAACCACAAGCAATAAAATAAGTAAATAAATATGCTTCGCAATAATAAGCACACAACATTATAAGTGATAAAACATGCACGTTCAATAATTTAACACATCAGACGAAACTATGCATAAACAAGTCAACGCTAGAATCAACTGCCACAAAGCTGTTCAGCATAAACAGAACTTTACATATCAAGTGAAAGGTTATTTAAAAAGTGAAGAAATGATTCAGTTTTATTAGCATTTACTTCTTTGGGTAATTTATTCCATTGTGATATAGCATGTGGAAAAAGGGAATACTGATGTACATTAAGATTACTAAACGGCTGCTTGACTCTTTTATTGTGGTTTGTACGACCAGACCGCATGGGGGGCTCAGTTACATAGCTTTCACGGGGTATTTTGCAGTGACCGTGGTACAGCTGATATAAAAATTTCAAGCGAGGTACAGTTCTGCGATGAGCTAGTTTTTTTAATTTGGTCTGTGAGATAAGGCAAAAGAAGGACTCAAAGCTCCTGACTACTGACTATGCCTTACCACACTTGTCACACATTACATATTTGCGTTTGCATAGCATGTGTGGCAATAAAATGAATGGCTAGAAAATCTCCATGGCATTTGACATGTGTGCGCTACAGGAATGAAGATTCCTACAGTGTGCCTTAATCAGTGAAAAAGAAAAACAGTAAGCTTTTGGCAGCATGAAATGCTCTTTGCCTTCAACACTAATTTTTGCTTTGCCTGGACAGTCCTCACCAAGTCATGTTGATTTAGAAAATTTAAAGGCATGAAAAACAAAAAAAAATGTTTTCCAGAAGTTTTAGGAAAAATGGCTGAATATCACAACTTTTCGTAAAATAAAGACATGAATATAGTAACACACGGGTGTTCATGTAAAGATTTGTTTTTAAAAGTTTTGGCATGATGTGGACATTTGAAAATGAATAATGACATCATTTTCCTTAATTTCCTTAGACATACTTTGTAGCTCCGTTTTTTTTCACCTACTAATCATAAAAGCTGTGAACGTGAACCTACTTTCTACACATTTCAAGAAGTTTGGTTTTTCTTTAATGTTGCATGCGATAAAGCATGTTGAGGGCTTGAAACAGCAATAATCCGAAAGTAAACTGGTGGGCACATTTATATGTTGGGAACAATGAGAAAAAAACAGTCACAAGTAGATTGGTTTTACCATCTGTTGCTTCAAATTACTTTTTTTTGCATAGTATATGAGCCATTTTATTAGCAGAGCTGTTACACTCCTGGTTTGTTTCTGTGTTATAGAAAGCTCTGCCCAGGTTGCCTTTGCCACATGAAGCAAGGTTAAGCTTAGATGAGCTTCTTAAGCCAAGGTAATCATAACAAAGTCTAATTAAGCATAGATAGGTAGGGTAATATTTCATTAGTAACCATAATTTATCTATAGAAACAAAGAATCTGATTAGCCCTAATTAAGTCACATTAAATTCTTTATGTGGATAGTGATGTTGAGCTCAGAAAATCTTACCCAGCCAAGAAAAATTAAGACTGCTTTGTGCAAATCAAGATTAAGCTATATAGCACTAATTAGGTAATCAAGTGAAGGTTTGGCTTGGAAATACGTTTTTTGTGAATAAGCCCAGATATGCTACCTTAACTAATCTAATTAGCCTACTATAATTGTTGATTTGGTGCTACTACCTATGGCTAATGGATGCCCAGTCAATGAGGTCACATCCATCAATTGACCTAGAAACACTAAACAAAACTTGAAAAAGCTGGAGCCCTGCCTCACACATAACTTGGTGCAAACTGCAATAATTTTTTCAAAACTGTCTTGGCTGAGACATCTCCATATTAAAAATTTTATGAGGATTGACTGTAGCTCCTTGTTATGAAAAACGTTCACAGTAGATCCATGCAAATGGCATAGAAATCCAACAGTTGACGAGCCTGAGCAGCAAGCTTCAGGCTCAACCAAGATCCATGCATTGCATTTTCTGCTCTGGCTTCCAGTATGAAAAAGCTATTTTCTCCATTTATATGTAATTTACTGACATGAGCCAACATATTCCTTTAATAAACTTTTAGGGGTTATAAAAGTTATCGAGAAAGAAATATTGCTGGCACCAATATTATGGAAAGTATCTTGGGAGAGCAAGCCAAGGGATGGCATGCGTCACATGCCCTTTCACCTTCTAAATTTTTTTTCCCCTTGGCACGCACAGCACAAAATGATACTGAGACACCTCAACAGGTTTTCCCGCTCACTTTAATCTGAATGCCAGCTTAAACAATCTGCACACCATTGAAATAATCTGAGCATCAAGCTATTTAATCAAAGCTTCAACTCAGGCCACGTGCCAGTGAGTTTAATCCAAGTGCCACCATGTTCAATCCAATTGCCAATGGCTTTAATTCAGGTGCCAGTCAGTTTAATCCACACAAAAGAAATCAGAACACGAGGCATAAAAATGGCAGTACAAGTGAAATGCAGTTCTTACAATATATAAGATAATAGTCGCTAAGTAAAACAAATCATTATTTGTATTTTCCACTAGTATTTGGGAAAAAAAATTACTGCCGCTGTTTGCTTGAGCCGTGTTTGTACTTTAAGTACAATGATATACGAACAGAGTGTACTTTAGTGCCACCATAGCAAAAATCCGATGAAACACAAACTAGAAGTGTTGCAAACTTTGACACACACACATATATATATATCTTTAAAACTTTTTTGAGCCTTCCGATCTTTATCCCTAACTTGTTAGAAATGCTAAGAGTATGTAACTTTGTAATTCAGTGTTTCACCTGCACCTTATTCTTGTGAACCACGACCATGAAACAATCAAAACTAGATTTGATTGTGAAGAAGATGCACCTCCATACAGCAACATCGCCAACACCTGGCTCGCTCGGCTCATGCTGCGGATTGCTGCTGTGCCTCTAGATGGTTCTTCACGCTGCCTCGCCACTGACAATTATAATGTCCTTGGACGACCAATAAACCTCTTCACAGGCTATTATATCTCTTTATTATGATCTTTGATCCTCAGAAGTGCAGGAAATACTTCACAACCAAGACAAAGCTTTCGTCAATGCAAACACCACACTAAGAAAAGTGCATCAACAACATGGCAACAAGAACGACTGTAGAAGACATTGAAACAGCTAACATTTCTGTGCACTCCAGCTGTCTGGGGCACCAACACTGAAACATGGGATATAAATGGAACAAGCATCACATTGCACTGTGTATGAACATTAACAGGGTGTCATGGGTAACGTGGACCAAGGTCAAAAATATTGGGTAGACCTATGAAAAACATGATGTACTAGTGCGATTATTCATCACTGCTATAATTAACAAATTAAAGTGGACCAAGAAGCAGAGCTAAATGTGAGAGCCGACTAAGCTGCATCATAGTTTAGGGGTACAAATTCGCAGACCCTTAAGCTCCGCCGTTAAAGAACCCCTAGAATTTAGAAACGTTTTTGAGATGCTTATGTTGTTTGATAGTCCTGCATGCAGGGGCACTTCTGACAGACTACTAGCGATGAGTGTCGCTTAAAAGATATTTTAATTTAGCTTTAAAGTAAGCGTCCAATCGACATTTTCTGGTTTGACGAAGACAGTGGTCCCCACGTTACGTCGCAAAGGTCAAGCAAGTACTGTCAATGACAGAGAAAATTTGCAAAGCGAGCATATTACCCAGACTGGCGCCCAGTGAGGACTGTTGTTCGTCACCCCTCTCACTCTGTTGTCATACTGCTTCCTCTCAAGGTGGTTTTGTCTGCTTACGCCAGGAATTTTTTTCTTTTTCACGCTCAATGCACTGGCATTATCTTATTCTTTACTGCCCAGGGGTTGCTCGATTTGAAAACAGTGCATTCAGTGTCACCAAAGCTTGAGCGCACATAGTCTCTTCCACTGCCCCACTGTGGGGCGCTAATTCCTTACACTATTTAGGCAGGTGTTTTGAACTGATGCAACATAGTTCTGAAATAATATTGATAGCATGAATTATTCGATGCATTAGAGAATTTACGATTCAATTTCAGCGTTATCAGACGCAAAGCTACAAATTACAGTAAAAAAGTCGCCAGCAAAACTTTCGCTGTCAGGGTTTCTTTAAAAGCTGAACGCGATAGCGATATCCTGTTCCTAGTGGGCACTTCAACCACTTAGTGCATACTTTTTATTGCATGATGTTACTAGAGAATGTAAATTGTGGATCACTACACTGCAATCCGTTAAGCTGAAAGTTGCTTGTGTCTGAATATGTGAAATTGGATGCCAAATGTGAAATGAAGCTTTCACATTTGGCTGCAATCTGTGTAATAAGTAGCATGTTTTAAACCACGAGCAATTATGCTTGTGAAATATTTTTGAACTTGCAATGCACCTACTACATGATCTTTAAGGAATACGCACATAATGTGTGTGCCTTTTGCAAAGGGTGGCTGACTTTAAACCATGAAGTCGTCATGATAATTGCATGTTTTGATGCCCGATGGCAACGTTTACTTGTACCACACAATATTACTGCAATATTACAAGTTGTATTCTGCAGCCCGTATACAGGATGCAGCATAAACATTTTAACTGCATTTCCAAGCAATAGTAGTTATTTTAACTGTATTTCCAAACAGATGCATGACTGCATGGTAGAAAACCTGCTTACCACGCGAACTGCATGAGTTCGATCCTCACTCGGACCTAGAAATTGGTATCATTTTATCGGCATCTTTCTCAATTTTTCGGCCATACACTAGACGATTTTTTGCTCGCAGCCAAAGAAAAACGTTAGAAGCGAGCTCTTTAATGCTATCATATTAAGAAATGTGTTCAAGAAATTGATGCAGTGTACTTGAACCACAGACCATATTATGGTATGTGGGCCTAGTGCTAAGTTTGCATAGTAATTTTCATACTATTCAAAACAGGAACAATACCAAAATTTATCAATGACTCCAGTATTTGTCTTTTCACTTACTTGCCAAATAAATGATTTAAGCTAAGCAATAAGTAACTACCTTTCTAAACATTCAAGATGCCACAAGGTATCTTAAATGAATGACACAGGAACGAATGAATGAACAGAAACAAATGAAATAATGACACACAAAAAAAGTCAATATTTCTGAAACTTGGTCCATTTTACTGATGATACACCTGTATTCGCTTCTTTATATCCTGCGACTCTGAAATATTACTATGCGAGACACCCTGCTCTTGTTCGGGCTAGCAAAGTTGGCGACCTAGTGTGCCCACAGTACTGCATCTGCCCTCTTGTAGTAACGCTGCCATCTTTAAAAACAGGAAAAAAAAAACCCTTGCATCGAGCATGTAATCATGTAATACTATTTTAAGATCAGGAATGAAAGATTTAGTCTATTTGTGTGAGTAGACAATCATAACACTCCGGATAAAAGCAATAGACACTGTCTGCACTATCATGTGTCATACAAATAAAGGGAAATGCCCATTTCCATGCACCATATGTTATTACTACCTACTCATGCCACGGTGGCCTAGTAGCTAAGGTACTCGGCTGTTGACCCGCAGGTCGCAGGATTGGATCCCCGCTGCGGTGGCTGCTTTCGATGGAGGCGAAAATGCTGTAGGCCCGTGTGGTCTTGAGACCGCATGGGCCTACACCACTTGGGAGCACGATAAAGAACCCCAGGTGGTCGAAATTTCCGGAGCCCTCTACTCATAATCATATGGTGGTTTTGGGATGTTAAACCCCACATATGACACTCAAAGCGATTCGCTTACAGAAAGAGGTACCGTGGTGCCTTTTCAGAAATACTGCCAGCAGCTGCCACTGGAAATCTTCATTACACATTTAAAAAAATGTTAATGCATTTGTGCCAATAATGCACATATTCTAGATCTTCATAACATATCACATAAGCTAATATGAAAGCAAAAATGTTTCAGATTCTTATCTCATTTGCAATGCATTAAACATCATGTCTTTCTAAGTAAGAATATCTGAAAATGCAGTACTTCTGCCTGCACAAAGTTCCACCAGGAGGGGTGTGCTTTTGAACTCATTTCCTCTAGCAAGAGGTGTATAATCGACTAGGAATGTGCATCTCTACAGCAACTGATACGTCGAAAACATCAAGCTCAATGCAAGCCTTACAAAACTGCACCAAAATAAAACGCGACCTGGAATGCAGCAAACATGAAACATTGGCACATATAGCATAACAAAACAAGTATTGGCTCACAGAAAAACAGTACTACGTACTGCAACATGCACTTCCTGGAGCTTGTGTACCTTTGTTGAAGTAGCGAAGAGTACCCAACACCCAAGTAAAAACAATGCGAGTTAAATATGAGGAATTACAGCTCATGAATGAACAACAAAAAGGCTTCCAAGTTTCAGAAAACGTGCTTGTACTTATACAGACAAATTCTGCAACACAACAGCCTCTTCTCTCAACACACATACGCTTTTTGGCATCGTATAACTCATTTCTAAACAATCTTTAATGAGGATTCAACACAATCTCTAATAACACTCATTGTTGGGCTAATTAGTGCATTGCATAAAAAAAATCCAGCCAATAAAATAACAAACACAAGAAACCTGTGTTCCTGTGTTAGTTATTTTATTGGCTGGATTTTTTTCTTCTGAACAAAGTTTTTAAAGAGCATCCAAGAAAGGTATGCTGCATATTTTACATTACTGCCGTATTAAATGTACAAGCAAATTAGAAGTGAACATGCTGTGAATGAACACAGCCAAATTGCTTAACTCCTCATAAGAGTAATGATTGTTACGTTGGCAAGGTCTCAAAAGGATGCATTTACATTTGGTACATATCCATTGTCAAAGAAAGAAATCCATGCATCTGACCAACAACATCAGAACATCAAGGTTTAATGCAACTTCAGGACTTGCCAGCTAACTAAAGAACTAAAACACATCACAATTAGACATACAATTCAACTATATAGAATATGCTGTAGCATACAGTTTCTACAAGACAAATGAGTAACTGCATTTTAAGAAGTGGACTGTGCAATACCCAGCCAACTGAAATGCCAGCCAAGTAGTGTTGCCATTATAGTCATTGTAGGGCCTACACAGGTGGGAGAATTCACTTAAGAAGAAATTATGCCAATTACTTATGCCATAAAATAGGACAAAACGCTTAAACTAAAACTTGGAACCTTTTAAATGGATGTAAATATTCTGACTGAAGTACACATATAACTGCTTTTTGGTCCATGATTTCCTTTGCATCTTGGCTAGTATGCAATATTCTCATATCAATGCATTGACTGCTGACGGCTTCCTCTTCATGAGTAACCGCAATGGTCTGAAAAGCTCCACTAAGGTGAATTTTCAAAAAAGCAGGAAAGAGTGTGGGAAGGGAGTGGTAGGGCAATGAACCTTAAGTATAGAACAAGGTAGTGATGTCCAATACATGAGTGACTAGTTCTGTGGTGACTGTTGCTTCCTTGATGGCACTCCCTTTAGGAAGGTAGCAGGCCCCGTGCTAGCAATGTGTCCCGCAAGCTGCTGAAAATCTGCAGCTGTACTTCCGGCTTCATCAAGTAGATCTGCTGCAGAATCTTCTGTTGGTTAGGAGCCCTAGAAATGTCATGAAGGTAGAAATATCTGATAATTCACTGTCCCACACTACCTGAATTTTTAGTATACTTGAAATCATCACATTACATATACTGCATGATCTAGCTTAAAATATTTCACCACTACTTTTGACAAGGACAGGAAAGAAAACAGCATGACAGGCCCACACGTTCTCTGACTTCAGTTGATACAAAGAATAATGTGTGTGGTTTTAATAAACATAACTGAAGTCTGTATTTATCCTGTCATGCACTTCTTCATATTAGGTAAGAATGTATAACTAACTAGCCCGGCAACATGTTTCATTAAATCAAGTTTGATATGAATTCCTCCCACACATACAAAATACAGTTAAACCCGGATATAGCGAAATTGATAAATTCCCAAAAAATCTCGTTATAAAGAGGATTTTGTTATACGCAGGTTCAGTACGAAAATTCGAAAAATAAACGCACAAATTAAACAAAAGGGGAACTGAAGGCAGGCCAATCCAAAACACTTATTTATCGGTAAAAAACTGAGTTACTATTGCGATACCAACAATATGGACACTCTCGGCAGTTTTTGCCGAGGCCGCCATGTTCCGCAACAAGTAAATTGCTAACACGCCCTCGCGCGTCTTAACTTTCATGAGGGTAAAAGCGTGTGAGTGCTGCTGAAGCAGAGATCAAATGAGTCGGCCCATCTCTATCGCCTGGAAGGCGCATAAGGTAACATCTCCCCGCATGTTAGAACTGCTGTCGAATGCTCAAACAGAAAGGAAACCACCCGTCTTGAACAAACACAAAAAAACGCAGGAAGGAGGGGGGGGGGGGTCCTCAAGTACCGACAATTAACTTTGGCTTTAAGAGTGGTCACGAAGGCTGGTGTGCGTGCTATCCCGACAAGTATATCAGTGCGCTTTCAATGCTAAGAGACTGTGTGAAAAAAGCAATTCTCCCTAGAGCGGCCGTATTTGCTCACATCAGCGTTTTGTATATAACAGTTCTGTGATATTGAACCTAAAAGAGTTGGCAGCCAGCCTAACTTCGTAGGACATAACGACTTTTTGCTATCATGTTCATTGCATTGCATTCAAGGCGCCGTCCTGTCGTTGCCAGAGCTATTATCAGCTAATCGCAAAGGCTACGAGCCTGAGAACATGTGGCACGGTGCAAGATGGAAGTGCGCGACGAGTCAACCTCCAAAAATTCGTCGTCACCATTGTCTAAGAGAGTTTCCATCAGTGCCTAATCTGACATCCCCTCGGCAGCGACAATAAGGTTATATCGAGGAATTCGTTATATGGAGGTTCGTTATAGGCAGGTTTAACTGTACATATCCACATAATCACTAATTGGCACAATACAAAACAAGCTTAACTAGTACGTGACTAGACCAAACATTTAAGCACTAGGCTCAGCTTCTATAAGACTCAAACATTAAGTGTTTTTAGTGATCAACTGGTAAATATTTTGTGTTCTCAATGTCTCTGATGAGCCTCGTCTAATAGGTATAAAACTGTTCAGCAATTTTGTGCTCACACTATGTACTAGCATAGAAAGGATACAGAGATCAGACGAAAAAAAAAATTATTTTAAAACTCTGCAGATTTCAAAGATCTGAAATGCCTAATCTATGCCACATCAAAACAAGGTTACCACTTGAGGTACATAGAAGAAACAACTTTTTCAGTGCGGATGGTGAAAAAGAAGCTCAAGATAGCGTGAGCACACCAGAGTTCACACAGTGCTGCTATCTTGAGATTGTTAGAAACCTTAAAGTTGCAGTAAAAATGCAAAAAAAAAGTCAATGGCAAATCTGATCTATTTCGAAATGCACATGTGCCAGCATGCTAAGAGGTGCCTATAAAGCAGCTGCGGTTGGCTGAAGTGGTTGACTGCTAGGTTTTCTCACAAAGACTTTATGCAACTGCTCCCTCTTTGGCAATTACACTGTGTTTGTAAGCTGTGAGTCAGGGCTAATTTTTAAAGATAAGCATTTGAAAGCTGACATGCACATAATAAACAACTCCTGAGCTTCGTACTCCAAAACATAGCAGAGTTATTGCAAAGTTTGCACAAGCATGTGTTAGATCGCACATGTGGGTACAGTGATGTTCCATACTATGCCAAAGAATTCCCATTCAGAGACATGAAAACTCTCTATTTCGGGGATTTTCCTCTGCAAATGTTGACGAAATTCCCAGCCAAATTCCTTGCACAACAGTATTGATTCTCGACCCCATTTACGTACATGCATACTATAATTACACATGTCTGACGTGCTGGCGACTTTTGAAATCATGACTAGCCCCTCCACTGCCGCAGAACAAAACCATTACTTTATTAATTCATACACTGTTAGTACACTGCACATAGTGGACTTCAAGTCTAACACCCCTAGTGAACTGGAAATCACTTCACATAAATATCGGAAACAAATATCAAAGGATATGCTTGCGTGGTGCATGCATCAGAACAGATTACAGCAGATGAAGGCGCACTGTGACCGCTAATTATCGGTCGTCATAAGAGAATTTAACCATTCCTGAAATTCCCTGCAATATCATTTCCTTTTCCCTTTGGCTTAAAATGACAGGTGGAATTCCCCAGAAAACAGAAAATTCTCTGCACAGAACATCACTGTGTGGGTATAAAGTGAAGCAAAACGTTTGCTTGTTGTTGTCAAGTCATCAACTATGTATCGGACAACACGTTGAAGCCACGTTTTTATTTGAGACCATAAAAAACATACACCAAACCATGTTTGTTATAGCACCACTAGGCTTATCCATGAGGTTTGCATAGACGCATTTTTAGTAGGCTTGTACGAATATTCGAATACTTCAAATAATTGAACGATTATTACGGTATTACAACTGACTTCGACTCAAATTTAAATGATAAAACTTTGAAGTATTCCAAATGAATGAATAGATGTACATATGTGTCCATTGTTTGCTGCAGCACATGACACTTAATTAATTAGAGGCCCCACATTATTGACCAGTTTTGATTTGAGAGAGCGCTAAGAACGACAAGCCGCCAGCTGCAACTATCGTCACCTAGTGTGTGCATCTCTCGACCACGTCAGCACAAAACTGTGATGCAGTTCCACATGGTCGGCCTCAAAAATTCTTTTTGAATAGGATATGGGACTGCAGTGTTGCCAAACACAAAACTTTCAATGCATGCACCACAGCCACACACTCGTGTCCAGTCGCCGAGAAATGCTGAAACAAAGGCGAAAAAAAAAAAAAAGCCGGCTATGACGTCATTATAACTCGTTTTATCGATTGCAGAGTGGTGACGTGAGGGAAGTAAGGGGGTCCCCAAAGGGTCCCTTTTGATGGTGCGAATACCTTCGAAATTCAAAATTGCTGTAAAATACCTTTGAAGCATTATTCACTTTTGATATTTTGTACATGATACTATACGCATGTTCACAGGAATTAATCCTGCCGGCTATAACTGCTGCGAAATTTGTGTCAGTACCACTTTAGGTCACCTGACTATCCTAGTGTGGCTAACCACTGACAATAAAGATAGTTCCCAATTAGCGTGTGTCCTGTATATATATATCTGTATATATATATCTATATCCTGTAAAATTTGCACTCTGCAGTTTACTATTATGATCCAACTAGTCCAGCAATGAATTCTTTCAAGTAATCAAGTACACGAAGGGCCCTCAATCATGCTTGCCTAAAGGAATGGTTGCTCTGCTCCCTACTTCCTAACCTTACTGTTGGCTATTTCTGGGTCAAAAGAGTGTGCAAGTTGAAGAGCACTGCGGGATAGAGGAAGGCCAATGGCCGTGGATTGTATATTCCCTCAGTGAGATCATCTGCACCGTTCACTCCCTTGCACAAGTGGTTCTTGCATTTGTGTCATTCGCAAATGTTTTAGAAGCTGTTCGTTATAAGCCTGAAAGATAGCGTATTCCATGAAACATAGTAAGTCCGGGACATTCCTAAATTCATATCATGGCAAAATTAGGATCAATCGCAACTCCATAATCAAAATTTTACTGCAACTGCAATGACTTCTGAAGCGAAAAAAAAAAAATAGCACATACAACACATCTGACAATCACCACTGACATACCTGATAAAACTGTGGTAGTAGACATTCACAAAGGAAGCCATCAATATCTGGCAGTCAAAACGATCCATTATGCCTCCATGGCCAGGAATGATGTCACCAAAGTCCTTGAGAAGAAAACAGATAACAGTTATATGCACAAGAAACCATAGATAAAGCTTGCTTTTGCCCGATCTCATCTTCAACATCTCGCTCTCCCCATTTAAGCAAAGTGGCACACCGAATATCTCCAAATGCCAGTGCCATAGCCAAGGTGGTGGTTTAGAAGTGCTCAACCCCCCTTTAATTATATTACATTATGTGTGTGTATGTAATAACATACACACAAACTTACATAAAGCTGTTATAACCCTCCCCTTTCCACGCTCCTTCAGAGAAAAAATTTCTGGCTATACCCCGGCTAACCACGGCCCTTCCAATTAAGGCATACACTTTGCCAAATACACTAAGAATTTTTCACCATAAGTAAGTAGGCTTGTGTGAATATTCGAATACTTCGAATATTCGAATAAAAAGTTGAGTATTCGAATTTAAATTATTGAATATTTTCGAAGTATTCGCAATGAACGAATAAATGTATATTAGTTCGCATGTCATTGCCTGTAAAGATTGTTTCACTACAGTCTATAAATGCTAAGCCATGAAAGCACCTATCAAAGAAAAATTCGCTTTGCCGCGAAGCCCTTTTTCAAATTTAAAGGGGCCCTGCAACACTTATTGAACTTGGTCAGAAAACACTGCCGATCGCTACCGAGAACACGTGAGGCAAATATTATAGCGCAGCACGGGGCCTGTAATTCACAATAAAATTTCAAAGTTAAAAATTACCGTCTTCCCTCGGCAAATGACACTACAAGCTCAAAAATCACTCGTCGCAGCCAAGAAGGAATATACGGCTCCGGTCACAGCCATTGGCCGATTTGAGCATGGCATGCTCGTCGTTACCAGGGCCGCCGCCACTTGTCCACGAGTACGTGCGCGATCACACTGAAAATCCGCATATTGGAAAAAAAAAAAAAAAGAGGTGCTTAAGGTCACGAGGTGCATGTGACGTATTTTAGTTCGCCATGCCATTCCTCCCTGCTTAACTTCCAGCTATTTCATCGAGAAAAGAAGAGAGAATGCAATTGCAGCATGAGACAAATTTTTGGAACTCCGCTCGTACTGAACTGACTCTAGAAACTTTGCAGCGGTAAATTTGTGACGCAACAAGCACGTTTACTGGCTCCATGGCTACTTGAAAAAATGTTACAGGGCCCCTTTAAAGGAACATGTTACCCTCAAATCAATGCTTCATTTGATTAAGCTTGTTATGATGGCTTATATGCTCCAAGTATAATAAATTTTAAGACCTTAAGTATCATAGAGGTTATGACTCGCATTCTACCGAAACTACTACTCAAGGTTGTTTCAACTTCCTCTGAACAACAACAAAAAAAATGGCATTTGCATAGAGCCCCTATTGCAATTCAAAAGAAATATTGTGCAGGTTAGTTAAGTCATGATAAATATTCTTTTTTTAATATTTCATACATACCATTCAAATTCGATTTGAAATTATTCGATCATAATCACTATTCGCTTCGAACCTAAAATTTACTATTCGCACAAGCTTAGAAGTAAGTGATGCTGAGAAGTAATGCAAATGTAAAAGACCAGTGAAAATTCAATCTTTAACATGCAATGCTGATTCAGGCAACCACGAAAATACTGCCACTACTTGCTGAATGGTTATTACTGTTCACTGTGGTCTTAACAATTACATTTAATTTGAGAACAAGGGAAACACTAATATGGCAATCCTTGTATGACACTATGACACATTAAGACAGTGACTCTGCTCTAGCAAGACTTGAACATTACCTCTCAAGTCTGTGCTTGTTCTACATGTTCACAATCCAACTACAGCGTAGACCGCTTATAACGTAAGTCACGGGAGTTGTAAAAGTCCGCGCTATAAGCGGTACCGCGTTATAACCAAAGCATGCTTTTTCGGCCTTTGCCTATGTCAAAAGGGCAACCCACCTTTCAAAAGCAATTTACTAAACTTTTCACTCGCAGACACATTCAACACAATCACAACACCGCACGGAAACAAAGTTCTCAAGTCCGGCATCAGCGGAAGAGCACCATTATTTTCGTCTGGCGATGCTTGCGAACAGCGCTGCGAACAATTTCATCCTCCACAAAGCTTAAGCACTGAAGCGATTTCTCGCTCAAACTGTTTTTCGCGCAGTTCGTTTTCACTTTAGCGAGGTATTCCAATGCGTCTTTGCATGGGAAATCTGGTTCTGGCGTCGGGTTGACATCGTCTTCGCCGTCCGACTCGTCGTCCGTTGCAACCTCCGCACTACCGCGCACCGCTGCGACGATCGTGTCATCTGTGCTCGCTTCCTCGCAGACAGAAAGCTCCGACTCCCTGGCATCGACAAATTCTTGGAAAGTGTCGGTGGCGGTTACAAAGTTGCTGTCAACGAGGCAGGACCACACGTCGTCAGTGTTGAGGGTCTCATCAGCGAGCGACGTGTCGCTCTGCATATCGTCTTCCAGAGCCTCTGCATTGCGCACGAAGCCTGCCCTCTTGAAACACTTGCTTATGGTATCGGCCTTTACCTGCCACCATGAAGCGACCACCATGTCAATTGCGCCTCTTAAGTTCACTTTAAGAGGCTGCATGCTCAGCAAAACTCTCTCGCAAATGCGATTTTTGTACAGCGTCTTTACGGTTGCAATGACACCCTGGTCGAGAGGTTGACTTTTTGCTGTAGTGTTGGCAGGCAAAAACTTTAGGTTGACTGCGGTCAACTTCAGCTTGACGTTGTGGGCCGTGCAGTTGTCGAGGATAAGCACGACCCGCCGCTTCTCTGCCACCATATCCTCATCAAACTTGCAAAGCCAGCTGGTGAACAAATCCTGCGTCATCCACGCCTTTTTATTGGCTTTGTAGGTCACTGGCAGGCACTCTCGCTTTTTAAAGCAACGTGGCCTTGCCGATTTGCCTATGACAAAGAGGCAGCGCTTGTCGCTCCCGTCCAAATTGGCGCAAAACAATACAGTTATGCGCTCCTTTGAGACCTTGCGGCCGGAGCAGGCTTCGTCTTTCAGCGCAAGCGTGCGATTGGGCAAAAGGTTATAAAATAAACCAGCTTCATCGGCATTATAAATGTCTCTGTCAGTATAGGTCGACAGCATACTCTCCAAGTTCAAGCGAAGCCAGACTTCGATAGACTCGTCGTCGACAGCGCCGCTTTCTCCGCACACCACTTTGCAGCTGATGCCATGGTGATCTTTGAAACGCTGAATCCACCTGTTGAGTGGATTGAAGTCGTTGTGGCCTAAAATAGCTCCGAGACACTTGGCCTTTTGTTGGAGCATGGGGCCACTTACTGGGATGCTCTGAGCCCTAACTTCGCGGAACCACCTGAACAGCGCTGCGTCCACGTCTTCGTATTTTGACGTACGTATTCTCTTCCCTGACAGGGAAGACGAATCTTGCTGCAGTTGCTTCCGCAGTTTGTCCTTGTTTTTGTAGATGGTCGACACGGTCGCGTCGGAAACGCCGTATTCACCGACGCCTTCTTCAGGCCGCTCTCAATGTCTCTTATGACGCATTTTTTAATCTTCAGCGATAAGGCACGGCGTTTTTTCACACCGCTTGAAGATGCCACCGACGCCATGGCGACAGGAGCTAAACAACACACGTGCTCTGGGCTCTCAGACGGCAACGACACGGCGAAGCGCACACAGCAAATCCAAAGAGGCAAAAGAAGGAGGTTGAGAAAAAAAAAAAAGCATGCTACCGCTTCTCTCCCCAACTCCGCGCAGCGCGCACCCGGATTGGACGCTGCCACGGTCGCCACGGTGACGAAAACACGCTCCCTCCTTCCAAGGTCTCCCCAACTCCCTCCCTACTGTACCCTCTCTTCTCCTCCGCAATGTTTGACTTTTCGCGGCGGTCTCTACGTGCGCCCACCCGCTCACACTCCCAACGTTCCGGCGCGCCAAGAATGCCGCCGGGAAACCGTGCCGACCGTGCTCCGTTCGCCGATTTTATTGTCGCGCGCCTAAAAACTCTGCGCTATAACCGGTATTCCCCTTCGCGCGCCTACGCAATAAACGGTCGGCCTATACATTGAGTTCTATGGGCGACATATCAGTGATAAAAAAAACCCACATTATAACCGGTCCCGCGCAAAAAGCGGTTACGTTATTAGTGGTCTGCACTTTACATTATTTTTCTGTCCCAAAAGCATACTTTACCCCTATCCACTTCCTGGAGCACACAAGAAACATCAAGCACTGTTCTATTATAATCAATAAGTTAAAAAGTATACCTTACTACTCAAACTATTTAGCTTATAGATTCACTGCCAAATACCTACCATAGCTGCTTACACAGCTCTAAGTCCTGACGGGTAGGCTCTGACTTTATTTCAAGCCTCTCAAACAAGCTTGCTACTTCGGGCCAAAGGCTGCAGCAATAATATTTTGCGAATATCACAGAACTGTGTCTCACGCAGATGCTTCATTTTGAAAAGCAAAACCCACACCCGTTTCCTGCACCTCACCAGTCCTTTCGGCCCATGCATTGACGTAATCTTGTTTGCCAGCAACATAATGCAGCATCAACTTCCTCGATTCACCGCCCACTGCACTACGAAATGGCACCTTTGGCCTGTGGTGATGCAATTATGGCCACACTGTCGTTTTCCTGTGTGGCCCTCTCCCATTTTGATAGAGCCGAGAACACCGGTACAAGCAGTACCGCCAGAATAAAAGCCTTCGAGATCAAAAGGCATTTCCTGATTTTACCACTAGCGGAAGGGTGGATGTGCTATGGCATATCTGTTTACCTCACCAGCGCCTAGTACCCCTTGCACCGCTCTTCCTTATCATACAGCTCAGAAACAAGCAACATACAGAGAAAGCCTTGATTGGTTGTTGGCTGTGCACTGATGACGTAATTGCTGGAATTGTGTTATGTAACTGAAGTGTGCATAATCACAACAATAAGCTATGCCTACTCCCTTTTGCTACCAGGAAGTGTGAGAAAGTTGAAAAAAAAAAAAAAGATCATCCAAAGCAGGTTGTTTTACAACCTGTAACTTTTTTTTATTACAGCACTTATTCGTAAAATTTTTACAGCAGCATGTTCACATCATATAAGTGAGCAGTTATCTCTGCATCAGAAATTTCGGACCACGAGGTTGGTTGTTGGCCCTTTAAAAAATATGGTAGCATTTGACATTTTGAAGATGCACAGTGTATTACAATGGTCACTATAGCAGAGAGCTATGGATTAATTTGGCTACCTAGACTTCTTCCAGGTGGAACTGAAGCAGACCCAATTCAGGGGAAAAAAATGAAACATTACGCACCAAGTGAATGGACACAATTCATGCAGCTAAGATTGATTGATTTGTGGGGTTTAACGTCCCAAAACCACCATATGATTATGAGAGACGCCGTAGTGGAGGGCTCCGGAAATTTCGACCACCTGGGGTTCTTTAACATGCACCCAAATCTGAGCACATGGGCCTACAACATTTTCACCTCCATCCGAAATGCAGCCGCCGCAGCCGGGATACGAACCCGCGACCTGCGGGTCAGCAGCCGAGTACCTTAGCCACTAGACCACCGCGGCGGGGCTCATGCAGCTAAGAGGCTAATGGTGGTCATATTATGAGTTTGTATGGATGCCACCGTAATCTCTTTGTAATTTAGTGACTATAATTGCCTGTCACCTCTCCTGTGCTAGCATGTGTCCCACTTATCCTTTTATCATGTGGGCCTCGCTTTATTACGGGAATGCTGCTGTATGTAGGCATGTTTTGCTTTGTGTGGTTTGTTCCAAGCTTTTCGAGCAAGAAAAGGGGTTCATTCTTTTTTCAATTTCAAGTATGCTGTCTTTGCCGTGGTCACGATATTGCCTCGAGATTATGATGGCATCCATACAAACTCATAAGATGACTAACGTTAGCCTATTAGCTGCATGAATTGCGTCCATTTACTTGATACATATAGTTTCATTCTTTTTCCCCCTGAATTGGGTAAGCTCTACTTTGTTAAAGAAACTGCTATTGTATGTAGGCACAATTAGATTTGTATGATTTGCAATGAGTGACTTTTTGTTCCACTGGAATGTCCAGTGTTTCAGTGGAGATATTTAGATATAGGTAATTATGCTGGATGTATTTTACTGTGATCATCTTGGCTGTGCAATTATTATGCGATACGATCAACATTACAACAGTACCTCAAATAGTTGCCAGTCTATGCAAGTACAAGTGCTACTGGATATGTTTTTACATGCCATGGCCAAGGAATGGCTCTGGCTCTGAAGCAAAAATAGAAAAATTTCAAGAGTGATTTTATGGTGGCACTATCTCTAAGCACAGTGCAGTCAATGAGTTGGTACTGTGGTATGTGATATAAAGAAGTGCTATCGAGGGTCCCTCCATCCGATACAAAAGCCATGCTAACGCAAAAAAGCTTCGTGCAATGATGTTAATCATTATACTAAGCTTGAACTTGCCCACTTCAAAAGATAACTTGCCCATAGCAAGAGCAAGTTACATTTTGAAGTGGGCATGTTCAAGCTTAGTGCAAGTTATCTTTTCGTACCCTTTTCTTTGTTCACATTTAGATTACAATTACTTATAATAACATACCCTATACTTTCCTTGGCATGACTGTCTGTTAGTTCTTAATAATATTATGTCTAACAAAAAACGAGCCCTTATGTACACTCTTTTCCTTAGTGTAATGATGCGTGGAGCATGGCAAGCATCAGATTACATGGTAATGGTGGAGAGGACAGGAAAGCTTTGAGAACGTCACAAAGGCATATATTATTTTCCAATACTATTTATTTAGAGAACATTAAAAAAAGGTTGTTAGATAAATTTGACGAGTAAGCATGTTTATTAACAAACATTCCCTGTTTGACATGAAATATACCACGGGGTCCAATTAGTAAACACGCATCATGAATAGCACTAAACTGCTGTACCTTAATCTTGAAGGCTCTCTTGAAACCACTGGCAAAAAATCCTCCAAAAGGTCCAATGATGGAGCTGAACAACGAGAAGCTCAACGAATGAAGCACGAAAGGATAGAGTGTGATGGTAGTCTTGAAATCCAACTGCAAGAGCAACGAAGTGCATGAGCCAAGGTACCATTCTTCATAATGTCAAAAACAAACGAGCAGTCCTACAAAAGCTACAAACATGTCACTCAGCATGCATAAATTCACCCAGCAACATGGCGTGACTAGAGCACCAGCATGCTCAATGCAATATATTATGCAAACTACAGTTGCATTTCCTAACAATGAAAGTGTATGTAATAAAATAGTAAGCATAACAATTAAAATCACGTCCACAGGGGTGCACATATAGACTCCCTTTTAAGACGAACTCGGAGGTTCCACGATCATTTGTTCGTTTTATCGGGAGTTCCTCTTATCAGGAGTTTGTCTTATCAGAAGTGCCCCCAAAAACCAAATGCTAATACACCAAAAACGTTTAAATATGTTGCTTGAAAATACTGAATGAAGTATAATTATAATGGGGAGGAAAGTACCAAGAAAAAGCATTTATTTGGCTCAGCTGGATAAAAACTACGCTTTTAAGTAGAGTATTTAGACTAATTTAATGAGTACTCGATTTTGTGAGTTCATAATAAATATGTTCATGAATAAATTGCTACCACATTTCGATGATAAAACTACAGCACAACCTTATTTTGATGAATAGAAAAAGATAAAAAGGGAGAGACAAGTACGATTTTTCTTCTAAAAATAGAAAATTTATTTTTCTGGCTCTTCAACTTCTGAGAGGCTGTTTCAATGACTTTGCTATCACTTTTAAATATGCCACCTTTGCATACCGCTACGTTGACAAAGCCAATACATGCCAAGTTGCTTATAAAAGTCTGCAAGCTTTTCTTTGAGGTTCGAATATTTTCTTATTTTCAGCCCACAGTAACTTTTCCTGAACAACATGCAGCTGAAGAACTCTGTTTACGCTACTTACTATCACAAGCCTTGGGCACACAAAAAAGACACAATGCAGCTATATTTAGTGTGCAAAATGACCTTCCTTTGTCGTGCACTATCATAATTAAAATGGCACTTCACAATTTGCTGCATTTCACTGGAAACATATACTACGACGTGCACAGATCCTATGCAAAACAACGCAAACTGACCACAGCATGTGGGAACTAATGAATGCGAGGAGAACACAAAAGGACGAACGCTTTTTGTTGCTTTTTTTTTTTTCTGATAATGACGGCACCCTTTCTCCACCTACAGGCTAGGTGTGAGGGAGATACCAGCTTTATGCGCTGAACTTTCTTTTCCACTTATCTCGCTTTCTTCCTCCAAGTCTCAATTTCCTTTCGATTTGCTCAGCGTCTTTGCACCGTGAAGTTTTTATTTTCCCTCCGCATTTTATTTTCCCTTGTTCTCCTGAACGCATTCATCAAGACTATGATATTCGATGTGCAGAATCCCCGTAATCGTGGGTCACTGCAAGAGTTCGTCTCAACAGAAGAGGCCTATTACACGGTTCATGTTAAACAGATTTTTTTTTCGCATTGAGTTTATGGGAAACCAAACAAACACTCCCGTGTTGTTTAAGGCCTGTTACAGGGTTCATCTTAAGCAGCTTTTTTTTGCATTGAGTCTATTGGAAACCAAACAAACACTTTCGTGTTGTTCATCTTAGGCGAGAATTCGTCTAAACAGACTTTGTCTTAAATAGTGCACTCGAAGAGTCAAATAAAACGAACAGTATTTGCTATTGTATTCACATTTATTGTGAAATTCCAAACTTGAAACATGTGAATATATATATTGTTATCAAGTATGAGGGACCGACATGAGGAATTGACATTAAGACATTTATTATAGGACTATAGAGTGACAAGCAATTGATGTATGTAAGAACTTTTTTAAAATCATTCTGTTGCACGAGAGCTGTATTAACACTTCTTGGACAATTCATACATCAGATAACTTTGGATAAATATATTCTAGTCACTTGGTAATAATGCTTCTTTTCATACATCAGATAACTTTGGCTAAAAATATTCTAGTCACTTGGTAAAAATGCTTCCTTTTATAAAGCATTATTAAATTATTTTTTTTTTATTCAAGCAAAGAAATTTGTAATATGCTAAGACTCGTTACCATTTTTATTCATATAAAATTCAATGCTGTGCTGTAGCAACACACTTTTTGTAATTTAATGAGTGCATTACATGCACCAGGTGAAATAATGTTTCCTTAAATTGATTTCACTGTCATGATATAGTAACAAATAAGTACTAGCTGTGGTCATAATTTACATGAGCTTCTCAGCTGACTAAACATGCCGTTACAAATGGCATTACATGCTTATGTCAAAAATTAAAAGTAAACATCCACTTGTAAACAAATGAACTCTACACAAACTATATACTAGGTAATCTTTCTCAAATTCAATTTAAAGAGAAACTTTCACTATTCTAACATCCTTAGAAATTTGCTTCAAGCCCCAACAAACAAGTTCTAGTGAATTAGCTCTCATGAAGCCAAAATACCCACCCATAAATTTAAATGACCACTTTTCCCAAAGCAAAGGTAAAAAGCCATTTGGCACACTGTTTTAAGTATCATAGTGTGTATTACTTTCTTTGCACTAATCATTACACCACAATTTTCGATTACTGATAAAATGGATGTAAAAATTTTCGCTCTGACAGATGTGAGACCAAAACTATGCTTGCCGGGTTGGCAATAGCTACATAAGAGCATCAAGCCAGTGTGATTGCAATTTAAAAAGAAGGGAGTGTAGTTCTAAGAGAGCCAGATTCACTTGAAGCACTACTAAGAGAAATGCAGTTGTCTGCAACAGACGATATGGTCCAGCCTGCTCTAACAATTTTCAATGAGCGTGCTCATGTCATGAAAGTGCCCCAAACCTACACTGCAGTTAAAATGTAGATAACCTACTACAGCTGGTATTTAAGAGGAAATGTTGACTTTGGCACTTGCATATACCTACATAACATTTATATATGGCTAATCCGGAACCAACATAATTCGGGCCTGTCTTGGCTAAAAAAAAAAAGAGATGTCTAAATGGCAGCACATGAATGATTTTGTAATGCCTTGAGGCAAAATTAACAACACAAATGTTAATGATATTTGCATGTGTTTTATGAGTCAAAACCATAATATGATCGTGAGACACACTGTGGTGTGGGATTTCAAATCAGATCAATCCGCTGGAGTTTCTTTTAATGTGTACCTAACTGAAGAACTACTGGGACTCGCTCGTTGGATTTTGTGCCGACCGGTTGTGCCCCCGCGATCTCAGACGACAGCGCAGCTCTGGCCGACTGGGCTTCCCCTACGCCATCTCCTGCCGCCGATATGAGCTCTCGCTGAGTGGTGCCCCGTCCTCGAACTCCTGCGACAGTGTTCATCTTTCCTATCTGCTCCTTACTTCTGTATGTGGGTTTCTCTGTCCCTGCCCCTATCATTATCCCTATCCCTTTTAATCCTTCCTTAACCCCATCCCTCGTGAGCCACTGTTGAGGTGTCGCATTAGAACGCAGACAGTTACGGGGCTCACTTTTATCTTCTTTTCTCTTTTTTAAGAATCCCTTGCATACTGAAGAACTACACAGTTCTTGTTTTATTTGTCTTTTATCAAAGTGTGGCCGCCACATTCGGAAATCAAATATGTGTCTGCCAGCCGTACAGTGCAACATCTTTCTGCTAAGTTAGCACAGAGAATTGATGGCACAAACATTTTTTTCCTTTTTTCCACTTTGTAGGATAAAGAAAGCTGGCAACTAATCACAGCTATACTGTTTTTTTTTTGTTGTTCATGAGGTGTTCACAGAGCATGCCCACTGCTTATAAGTGAATTTGCCTCAATGCCATCATCATCAGCCTGTTCTATGCACAGATCTCAACGAAGGCCAACCCCAATGATCTTCGATTTACCCTATCTTGTGCAGATCAATTCCATTTTGTTTCTGTGAATTTCCTATTTTTTATCCTTCCGCCTGACTCCGTGCCAGCTTTAACTGGATTTCCCATCCTTTGGTTGTTTTTAGTGACAATCGGTTACCTGCCCTACACCTTACTGCTATTGAACCAAGTGCTGGATTGGGCCAATCTTGGTACGCATCAAATGTTTTTGAATGAATATTCAAAGAGTTGAAATCTGTGGTCTCTAATCTTTTAATAGAAGTACCACTAAGATAAAGTAAACCAAAGTGTGTTTCAAGCTATTGTCAGATTTAGACTGGTTTTAGTTACTTAATGTCACTAATTTTGAAAAAAAATCTCTCAAATAGCTAACAAGCATATTTTGTCGTGCATAAAGCAAAAGATAGCTAATTCTACCCCTGCTGATATCGAAAATCAGATAGCTTGGACGTGTCCTCTAGACCCGGCAAGCATATCTATTGTTTGATGGCATCAAACTCTCGTTATTTTGGTTATATTTGGTCCCAAACCAGTTCATTTGAACATTGCTCGCCCTGCACCAAAGTACGAAGCGCTGTAAATGTGCAATGCAAAGAAGTGCTAATGGCTTTTGTGAAATGGCCTTCAGAAAGGTGTGGCCACCATCCACAATCTTACCACAATCCCATAGTTGGCCACCAAGGATTTAGCAGCAGGAAACTTGTTTCATTTTTAATTTTACACGGCACACGCGAACTGTGTGGCCTCTATGATCACACTGATAACAACTGGAGGTCAAACTTGCAACAAGGACCCGTCTCTTTTTTTTTTTTTTTTGCTAGGTGTTTTCAGAACTGCGTAGTCGTTATCCATAACTGTGCATTAGCAAGCTAGTTTTCTTAAGCAGCAGATGCAGCAGTTTCGTTTCCACTCCGAGTGCAGGCCACATTTGTGCCTTGACGATTGTGTGAGTGCTATGATAGTGTTTTTAGGAACCATGATTTTGTGCACAGCAAATGCAGCACTGAGTAGCTTCGTTCTGACTAGCAGCAATGTGCACGCAACTTCAGAAAACTCAAATGTGGTGTAAGATGCTGAAGATGAAAAGCTTAGGTTGCGGTCAACTTTTTGGCAAAAAGTTTGCTTGCCATATTGTAATTGACAACCGATCAGTTAATGCCCATTTTTCTGTAAAAAAAAAATGAAAAACCGCAGTGTGTGTGGTGGTGTTGGTGGCTGCTGTACGTAATAAGGAATAGGTTCACAGCATGTTTGAGCTAAAGGCACTAGTGTCTTGAATTATGGTCATATTTTGAACAAAGTCACACATGACAAAAATTATGGCTGTTACATTGCCCTTAGCAAAATAAGTGTTGGATTTACATGTCGAGCAAATAAAATAAATTGATGTAATAGGCACTGCTTTAATGTTTTCTTGGTACCTTTGATAATTTCACATTCATTTAGGTTTTTCCGGTCCTATAAAATCCAAGTTAATAAGCTTTTATTGTACATGTAAATTTGTTTCATTCTGACTGTGACCTCTACTCAATGGAGTGAAAGTGACAACACACCATTTCATTATGAAAACTCACTTCAATGAAAAGTTATTTTGCCTGTTGAACAAAGCAAGAGAGCTGCATCAAGCCTTTTTTGTATGGCTGAGACTGGCGGCTGCAAATGGCAAAATCCAGCTGCATGTCAACCAAGAAATTCTACCACAGACTGAAAATTGGAAGATATCCACTACTTGAACACAAGATTTCATACTTCATTAGGCAACTACATGTGGACCGAGCTTCTTAGCGAATTGCCCCTGAATGGGCCCATCATTGAAGCCAATCCAGAAGTGAAACTAGCTAAGAAAAGAAAAGAAACCATTTGGAGAATAACTTTCCCACTTCTTAAAGGTAAATCGCACTCATCGTTTCTTTTCCTAATCATCAACATGGGGACATGCCATGGTTTCCTAAAAAGAACTGGATAAAAATTACACTCAGGCGCACTTTTATTTCCCTGCTCTGAAATCACAGCAGGAAAAATTAACTCATAAAAACTATAGGTCTGTGTTAGATTCGGGACACATTAGAATAATGCACATATGGTATGTGAACAAGTTCAGTGATCCTGTGCTTTGCACTCTCTCAGAAAAAAAGTCAAGAATAACTAACCTTGGCCCTGTACACAACAGCAAAAATATCTAAGATCCCAACTGAAAACATTCCAGTGTGCAGCAAGCAACATATTCGCATAGTGCAACACTGCGAGTAGTTACGACGTAACGAGTATATATTTTCAGCGTTTTCACTAATAAAGTTTCAGTTGAAGTCAGCGCTCTTTCTGTCGTTGTCTCTTCTACTGTAGTTACGTCGTAACTACTCGTAGTCTTGCGCTGTGCAAATATGTTGATTCCCCATTGCCAACTAGCCCAAGCATCTGTCTTATCAAGTGCAGCAAGCAACACACATCACTAACCATGCACTGGCCACTGGTGTGGATTGTGGCCTATTTCTCAGAAATGGCATTGCTTCTTTCAAAAGGTGGCTGTGATGTTAAATAGTACATTATCTAGAGTAAATATTTATGCCACCATTTATGAGTTTTTTTTACAGTTTTAATACAAACACAACTGTTGTGACAGACGCACTAGTGCTAGCCGAGCACAAATTCAGTGAGTGCGAACTCTCAGAGAATGCGAAGCAACTAAATCCAACATCCTCAAGCACACTGCAGCAGAGCAGGGTCAGTTTTTACCCTTAGGTTATATTGTAAGAAGCCATATGGGGCGAGTAAATGTCACAGATATGACAATAATATTAGACCAGTGACTGAACTACATAAACTTTACTACATCCCACAAGAACATGATGAATTCACTGTTGAACCTAAAAGTGGAAGCAAAGCAACTGCTGGACTAGCTCAGTTGCACATGAAAATCGTTTGGTGTGCTCATAGCAGAGATTTATTTCCCTGTTTGCACAGTTATAAAAGCTGTTACAGTGAACCTTTTCTAACGAAGCATACATGAAGAATGACAGTCATGCAACATTGAAGTTCAAACATTTATGTTTGAACTTCAGTTGTGCAATATAAAATATTCATTGGCAGGATTTTCAGATAAAACACAACTTGTCATACAACTGTAAAGTTGGAGACATTGAAAAAGAAGACTTATAAAAAAGTAAAAATTCTCTTACTGAACACAACTCATCCATAAGCTTGAAAGGTTGTTAACACACTTTTTCATGCTGCAAAAATAACATAAAGCAGACTTCCAACTAAAGTGGACTGAAACTTAGTTTCAATATAAACAAGCTGTACTAGGGTTAGACACACGTAAAGCCGATGACCACACTCATAGGATAAGCCGTGTGAAAAGCCATCGCAACAACTTATACAAAATTATAGTTTATACTTGTACTATGCTTCTGACCAGATTTCATTTTTACAAGCTTGAAACACTGCAGCTATTCTAATTTTCAAATTGCTGCCTACTAACTAGCTGCCCCCCAAAATGACAACACATGCTTGTAATTTATGTAAACGTGCATGAGTTAACTGAAATGCGACAACAGGGTATAATATCACAGGGCAAGGTGGCACTCACAAGGTTACACAATGCCTCAATGCACCCTGGAAATCCGTATTCTGTTGGTTGGAACAGTGGTGAAGGTTCACAATCCATAGTCATGCGCTCCAACTCTTCAGAGTATTCGATTGGACAGACAAAGTATTTGAACTGGCACAGGTACTGTGACATCTGTAAAATACATTGATTAGTACTTTACTAACACAGACATGAACACACACATAAAAGTCACACAGCTATGAGTCAACTACTTCAAGAGCAGGTGCTGCTTATGTTATAAAAGCAGCCATGTGATACAAGCATTTCCTTTGGCTAGGTGTTTGTTGGGGGGGGGGGGGGGGAGGCCAAGGGGTTTTGCTGAGCTGCATTATAGAATGTTCAGTTCATGCAGTCTAAAGGAGTCCTTTTCTCACACGATTTTCCAAAAGAATGATCTTGGTTCACTTTCAACACAAGTCTCCCAAGTGAATTTCGGAGACAGAACTGTAACAAGCTTGTTCTGGGTGACTAAGCATTTGCACATCTGCTTTCGGACCCTAAGCAGAAAATAATCAGGTCATGCAGAGTGATTCAAACACTTTTGCAACTGGAACGACACATGCCTGCCCAATAATACCATGGCACTATAACCGGAAGGAGCAACTCCTGTGAACAGGATAATTACCCTCATTTTGCTTCAACTACTTGGATGTCCACTTTTAAAAGCATAACCTGTAAAGACACCCTCCATGCCCTAGGAAGCAACCAATGAATCTGTGAAATTAGCCTTTACCTCTAGGTAGAGATCCCACCCACGATAACAAACCCCTCATAACTAAACTGCCCATGTCACAAACAGGACTAAAGCTAGAAAGATCCTTCAAAGGCACTGTTTGACCTGGGGGACTGGACTCTGGACATTTGTTGTTTGTCACAACAGATCCTCATAGCTTGCATAAAGGATCATCCGTTTGTTAACATCTTTGACATGGCTTGATAAAAAAAGTGTCAAAAACTCAGTGACGATAAAAACATAAAAATCGCAAGTCTTTTTATCAGGTTTTCCACATTATGAGAGAAAGGTTTGCACAAACCTGGCTGTAGCACATTACTCAGGTTTGCAAAAAAATTAATCATCAGCACCACATCACTCAATGCTGGAAACTTTCAGTCATCAACAGGTTAGTCCGAGGGGTCTTACAAACTCCAAGAATCCCAACTTCAACCCTTCCTAGATGTCTCATCAGCTGCTGCACTGAATAAAAATTGCTAAATTAATCGCTTCATGCTAAGTGAATATTGTCTTGCTTTTATGGAGTCTCATCACACCACTCTACCTTGCCCGTGTCAACATAACATGACAGCTTTATTTTATAATGTCGATGACTAGGCTAATAGCACTGACAGTTGGGCGAGTTGGTGTTGGTTCATAGTTATGAATGGGGCATAAAAAACACATGGAACAGAGATGAAGAAAACCCCACAGACACGGGCGCCGGACTCTCAACGAATTCTTATTTTCATCGACACACACATATATATAGAAGTGGTGGCATCAGACTCGTATGTTTAAGGACTTCCTGCGTGTGGCTTACGGTGCAACGTGGACAAGGCTGGGGCGGCGGTGTTTCCAGGAATAGTGCTTTGTCGCTGAAAGGACTGCTGATCCGCTGTGGAATGCACTACGCCCAAGCCTACCATCCAGAAAAAGACAAAGGGTGGAAGGGGAAGAAGTGGTGGTGTTCGGAGTCGACGGGCTTCCTGGACCGGTCATACACGTGCTCAATAAGGGACCTAAGTTCGCCACGGAACCTATGTAGTGTGCTGCGGAAAAAGTCTCGCTTGTAAGGTCAGTTGCCAGAGTTGTGCCTGATGAAGTTAAGAGCTGTTTCGCTGATGAATGTGTTGACACACTGCGCAATTTGGATAAGCACCATAAAAAACGTGTAAATACGAGACAGGTGGTCAACTATCTGGTAGACCACTGCCTTAGGGCCTTAGTAGCTGACAAGGAAGGCTTCTTCGTTGTTCTTCCTGAACAGATGTTTTCGGAAAAGGCGTTAGCAGCCGTCAACAAAAACTTCAAAACCCTAAATGTCAAACTAAATAAGGTTAAAAAGGAAGCTGTTGAACTTTTGAAGAACAGTGGTCTAGAAAAATTAGCCTCGAGAGTGAGGAGAGAAAAAGGCCTGGTGTTGGAGGTGTTTTTTACAGTTAAGACCCACAAGGAACGGATGCTGTTTTGGACCATTGTTTCTGAGAAGGGTTTATAGCAGCTGCTTGTTTCGAAGTACCTTCAGAATCGCCTAACAAACCTGACGGTCGCAAATCCTTTCTTGACGTCGAATCCAGAAGGCGTGGTCGATCACCTAAGAAGATGTGAACCAGGCCGATACGCCGCGTTTAGTATGGACGTGCAAGATTTGTATTATTCAATACCACAGGAGCGATTGACGACATATGTACAAAGATGCACTGAGTTGTATAATGCTGAATTTAATTTTGTTACCAACTGTGGCATTTCTGTGGCATCTTTTTTGGAAATTTTAACGTGCTATTAGAAATGTACTGTTATTTGTTTCGAAGACAAGTGGTTTATACAAAAAGGTGTTTGTATAGGGTCTAGGATTGCCCCAATTCTTAGCAATGTTTTTCTAGGTTGTGTAGACGAGGGTATTGAGCGGTGTATTGAAGGTCAGGATATTGAGATCTTCAAGTAAAAGATGTTATCTGGCCCTCATAGATGAAAGTCGAGGTCCAATCTCAATGCATGCAATTTATAACTGTTCAAGCAGGAAGGTATGGGCCTCGAGTTCACACACGAGGTTCCGGAGCAACAAAAATTAAGATTTCTTGATCTGGCAACTTTTGTGATGCCTAAATATCTTTGTGGTGAATATTGGCCACGATTCAAAAAAGGCCTTCTGAACTACTCATCAGCCTATTCCAAAATAGTTAAGGATGGAATAGCCTCCTCTTGCTTGAAGGCAGCCCTCCAGAAGACATGCCATCATAAAATTGAGGGAAGTGTTTTCAGACAAGTAGGTAGGCTCGTGCGCGCTGGCTACCCGGAACATGTAGTAAAAAGAGTGTGTGAAAAGATAATAAGATCACTAAAGCATGAAGGCAACGGAGACAAAAAAAAACAATAAGCTGGAAGATAACAAGAAAACAGCTGTAGTACTATATGTGCATAAGATGTCGCATAGATTGAAGAATCTGGCAAGCCGGTTTGGTGTGAGGGTGGTTTTTTCAGTTGCTAATAAGCTGCAACAAATTTGCGCACGTGTAAGCAAAAAAGTGAAAGAAAGAAACGAGAGAAAGCGACTGCAGGATGCGGCGTCAGGCACCATTCAAAAGCTGTTGACTGCGCCACAGGGGTTGTGTACGGGTTTCCTTTTTCTTGTGACGCTATATATATATATAGGAAAAACTGGTAGGTGTGTCAATCTGAGATTGAGGGAACACGAGGCCAATGTTCGCTCCAATGCCCTATCACATGTAGGCGCATACTGCAGAGAATGTGGGTGCGTCCGTCTATTTGAAAAAACAACCATCATCGCTAAGAGTAACGATCAGACAACTAAGGAAATAATAGAGGCTTTGCACATTTCTAACACTAACTCATGTATCAGCGTTTCATCTATCGCCTTGCAACAAAAGGAGGTATCTTATTTGAATAGAAATTCATGAGAAACCTTTCCTGCTGTGTCACATGTTTTTTGGACCACGTGCTTGTATATATGTGGGTGTCGACGGGAATAAAAATTAGTTGCTGGTTTTCTTCATCTGTGTTCCGTGTATTTTTTATGCACCGTTCATAACTATGGACTAGGCTAATCTGTATCCGATCATCTTAAAAAAGGAGGAGGACTGTGCACGAAAAAAAAGAGTAGGTAACATAAAAGGTGCTCTTTGTGTTGTGGTTTTGTGTACTGCTCCCTCCTTTTCAACATTATTTGCTTTGCAGTTCTGTGGAACCTCCGTAACAATCGTCAAGAGCTCTGCCAGTCACCATGAGGTGCTGTTGATGATGACAAAGCAGTAAACATAATTGTGAATCTACAGCAACAGACTTACAAGAGCACCAAAGATGACAGTTGCGATACCTCCACCTATAAAGCCTTCCCATGTCTTCTTTGGCGAAAGCTTGATCAATGGTGTGCGACCAAAGAAGAAGCCAAACATGTAGGCCATGACATCATTGCAGACAATCATTGAAACTGGAGCTATGAACCTGCAAATGGTACACACAGATCAGAACTTGAGCCGCACAATATAGTAAAGTAAATAATGCCGTAAGTCTATCCTTGACATTTTCATGAAATTCACTACGTGCTGTTAGGCACTGCTTTCAGAAAATTTCCACCAGTAATGCCATACACCATACCTGCCAAGTTCAAGCATTCTGAATCCAGGAGATTTCTGCAGTGGTGGGGGGGGGGGGGAGCCATTGTCGTGCCTATTTATTGTCCCTTTTTTTGCACAAGAAGAAAAAAACAACAACGCGAGAAGCAGGCTGGCAGGGAGGGGGGGGGGGGCAGTCTCTACAACCTTGCAAATGTACAAACATCGGCATTGCGGTCTTATAACAGCTTGCAGTGGGCGAACACATGAGAGTAGGGTTTCCCAATTAAGGTGAGAGTCTCAAAGGGGGAGTGCAAATACTGCCACAATTCCGCGTCACAACTAGCAAAATAATTTCTGTCAAAAAAACTGGCCTATGTCTTCCTAGGACACACGTGAACGGAGGGGACAGAGCAGCTGCTGCTGCGAGAGCATAGGTAAAAGCCTCACTATGATGCTAGATTTGTTGAACAGGAATGTCCAAATGCTTCTAGCCTTTTTTTTACGTCTTTATTGCCTTACATCTACTGCTGCGTTAGCCGCATGCCCTTGGAGCTCGTATATCACTATTGCGTCGCGGCGACAGCAGTTTCGTACACAGCGGCTGCGGCAAATGGTAGTTTCGTTTTCAATCGCGTGCGCTGACTGCACACGCGCCTTCAAAACTAAGTTGTTTATTGCAATCTATGATCACATCTGCCACAGCATTGTTCACAGCTTTTGTAGAAAGCGGCATAATCATTGAGCGTTGAACACAAGCCCACTGTCGGAGTTCTGTCATTTATGTCGTTGCCATACATGATCACGTCAAGAGCGATTACGGTTTCGTCCACAACAGCTGTGGCGAACGATAACCACACGCATAGAAGACGGTGCGCACGCTGGCCTCACGCATAGTACTTCCGAAGCTTTTAGCATGTTGCTATCGAGCTTTGCTCTATGGTTTCGGTACTAAAGTTCATATCATCCGCCGCGATGAGAAAAAGCGTTTCGAGCATACGAATTTTGGCCCAATGGACACAGTGGAATTGGGCTGGGCAATTTCACAAATTCTTATCTGCTGGTTTTGCATCACTGCGATGGCTTCGCAAAAGCAATGGGTTCACAAAAAGTCTGGATCACATTGGCCTGCATTTTTGTCAATACAGCCAGATCAGGCACGGAAATTTCGATTTTTGGGAGATTTTCATGACAACTGTGTAAACGTAGGAAATAGTCAAATTCAGGAAGTCTCCCAGATAATCTGGGAGACTTGGCAGGTATGCATACACTATATAAAACTAAGACTGAACGTCACCTTTTAGTAAAGCTTCACAATTTTAAATACTTTAGATATATAGAAAAAAATTTTTCAATATTTCACAGGAGGCATTGTCAAAACTAGCATTTAGTGCCTGTAGCACTGACAATCAAGCAACATAGAACTTGTTCCGTCGCTCTATAAAATTGGTTCTTTGTTTGACTATACTACAAAATTAAAATAAATTATGAGCAACAGCAGAGAAAGTTTTTTTTCTTTTGTAAGTTGTACAATTTTTCATTCACATCAATGTTCAACATACCAAGTATACATAAAAGTTTTTATGTGGTTTAACTAAGCAAAGTTGGAATTGTGGTGCAATGTGCATGGTTCGTAACTTTACCCATTATTTTACTTTCCGTATATTCAATAAAGAATGTAAATTATATTTTCTACTAGTGGCTTCTTATGTGCTTCATTGACTTATCAGGTAAGACAAGCTTTCTGAGCAATTATTTATTTTTTATTTCCATTCAGAAAAAAAATTTTCAATATTTCACAGGAGGCATTGTCAAAACTAGCATTTAGTGCCTGTAGCACTGACAATCAAGCAACATAGAACTTGTTCCGTCGCTCTATAAAACTGGTTCTTTGTTTGACTATACTACAGAATTAAAATAAATTATGAGCAACAGCAGTGAAAGTTTTTTTCTTTTGTAAGTTGTACAATTTTTCATTCACATCAATGTTCAACATACCAAGTATACATAAAAGTTTTTATGTGGTTTAACTAAGCAAAGTTGGAATTGTGGTGCAATGTGCATGGTTCATAACTTTACCCATTATTTTACTTTCCGTATATTCAATAAAGAATGTAAATTATATTTTCTATTAGTGGCTTCTTATCTGCTTCATTGACTTATCAGGTAAGACAAGCTTTCTGAGCAATTATTTATTTTTTATTTCCATTCAAACCACCCATAATTAGGCTAGTTTTATGTATTACAGCATAGGTTGTGAAGAAATAAGTCGGGAAAAACGTTTGTGGCACAGCAGTTTAGCCACATCGTTATAAGGCTAAATAACGTATCTCACGAAGCTACAACATTTAGCCATGAGCCCAAGGGGATTGCTAGATCTCACAGACTATTCATTTTGCCTACCCCACCACTATATGTGCAATATACAGTGAAAGCTTGTTAATTCAATCCCCATATATTTTGAAAATCAGTCAATTCAGACATGTTCCCTGGTTCCAGTAAGCATACGGATTGTTTAATGGCAATGAACACTTTACTTCGGTCACATTTGGCCCCAGCCCAGTAAATTCGGACAATCCTCAAAGCATGCCAATTGTGAAGTGCTGCATGTGCAACGCAATAGAGCGAAATCAGCGTTTGCAGACAAACAAAATGATGAGGTGATATTCACATCACTATCCTTATCATTTATTGACCACAGTGCTGTCTACATGTAGACGCAGTACTCTGCAGCATCATTTGAACTTGATGCAATACGCGCACAATGCCACAAAACGCAAACATGGTGAGGCTGTTGACGTTGAAGAGCTTTCAGCCCCGGCCAGCATGCTGGCATAAAAGGCGTTCGCTACATTCCGATGGTTGAGCTATCAGTTACCGGCCATTTGACCTGTGAAAAAACTCTTGTTACGTGCACATGGTGGTGGTGCACACTTAATAAAGGAGAGGTGCAGAGCATGTTTCAGGCTAATCAAACATGGAGGTCTGGCCCCATGACTGCTTCGAGAACAAAGTCGCAGGGGGACGAAAAGTGTGGCTTTTACACTGCTGTTATGTAAAATAATTGATTGGTATGTGGGGTTTGATGTCCCAAAACCACCATATGTTTATGAAAGACGCCGTAGTGGAGAACTCCAAAAATTTCGACCACCTGAGGTTCTTTAACGTGCAGCCAAATCCGAGCACACGGGTTTACAGCATTTTTTTCCTCCATCAAAAATGCAGCCGCCGCAGCCGGGATTCGATCCCTCCCGTGACCTGTGGGTCAGCAGCTGAGTATTTTAGGCACCAGACCACTGCGGTGGGGCTGTTATGTAAAATAACTACATAGTTTATGTATTCATCAAGCCCAATAAAAGCGTATTGTTGTAGCACACACTTGTTCATTCTTTTCTTAATGTTTACAATAATTCAGACATTCGGTTAATTTGGATTCTTTCCGGTGCTGTGAAATTTGAATTATTGAGCTTTTACTGCAACTTAAAAAAGAAATAAAAATGAGAGAGAAGAAAGGCAGGGATGTTAACCTGTTTGGCATAACTGATATGCTACCCTGCAATGAGGGAAGGGACTAGAAAGATTAAAAGAAGAGTAAAGAAAGAGAGGGGAAACACACATATACACACACGTCACCGCGCTGAGCGGTAGTCTTGTGCGGTATACGGCATCATTAAGAGCCTACAGCTTAGGAATCAAGCAGCAGCTATTGTGCTGGTGCTATCCTCAACATAGGGCCTAGTTCTCTTTGACAGGCATCACCTTTCAAACCCATTCAAGAGCAGAGTGAACAGCTCTTTATTGGAGGCACTGTATATATATATATATATATATATATATATATATATATATATATATATATATATATATATATATATATATATATATATATATATATATATATATATATATATATACACTGTCACGTGATTATGAATAGCACAACCTCTATTCACAAGAGCACTGACGTTGAGTCGAACCAGTCACCAGAAACACGAGCTCATCGTCTGCTCTTCTTTCTCAAAATGGCACATACACGCATTGGCATGGCTCATTCCATGTCCGTGGTAATATATAATGTTAACATAAATCGGGGCACACCCTGCTTCATAAAAAAACTTGTTTCCCCAACAGCAGAGACACTGTCTCGCTTTCCATAATGACATTGCAGAACGGCACCTAGTGGTTGCTAGGTGCTTTCAGCTGTCTAGTCATGTCTCTACCATCACATATGAACTGCTGGTGCATGCTCATACAGTATTGTCTTGGTAAAATTGCTTGAACAGAATTGCAGCTAAGCAACATGAACCACTCAGATATCCCCATAAAATAAAGACTGCCTGCTTTTATAATTGAATATGTACATTACATTTAGAGAAGGGGGTACAAGCAATGCACTAAGCATCGAATGGGCCTTGAAGGGACACTAAAGGCAACTATTAAGTCGACATTGATTGTTGAAATAGCGCTCTAGAAACCTCATAGTGTTACTTTTGTCCCAAGCAAGGGCCTATTTTGAAATGAAATCATGTTTTAGTGCTCCGCATCAGGTTAGCGCACTTCAAATTACCTGCCTCGAGAAGTGGACCGACCGGACCGGCTCACGTCACTGTTGCCGTGCACAATGTTGCCCAGCTTTACTGCGCTAGTAGCAGCAGAGCGAAAGCAGCAGGAGCCATAGCAGCAACAACCATGGCCCCCGAGGGCGGGCCCAACCATGGCCTCTGAGGTGGCTGGCCCGCGCGCCCGCCCTCGGAGGCCATGGCAGACGTTTTTTTTTTTTGGTGGCACCACATGTCCAGTGTAACTATGTGAAAATTGAATTTTTAAACCACTGGTGCTATTCCCCATAGTAACGTCCAGAGGTTATTTTTTCTGCGAATCAAATGCAAACGAACAAGCAGCATTTTATTGCATCTCTTGATGCACAGAAGGTTCTTTATTTAGTGCAGCTAGATTGATTACTAGTGATTAATTGTAGGCGGTCCTTCTGATGTCATCAGGATAATTTTGAGAATGTCCTACTGTGGCACTTGTGTTCTTGTGCACTTACCTTAATTTCTCGGTAAGTAGGGCACTGTTGTTGATAACATTGTCCTTTTAGATGTTGCCTTACATTGAGCTTTCACTCTGACGTAAATTGTTATTTGACTTTAGTGTACCTTTAGGCTTCAAAAAGGAACAAGGCAGAGGAAAATGTCACTTTTGCTAGGATGGCAGATTTAGTCCTGGCACAAAGCCCGATATATAAAGTCCTTTTTATTTTTGCAGGTGAATGCTCCCAGAATGATGTTTATAACAAGATAAATGGCCCTTGAATTATAGATAAATATTTCTTGAATGCAGCTCACAAGCAAATGAATGCATATATGTTTTTAGGAACAGACATTCTTGAAGCTCATCACAGCCTTACAATGTTTATATTTGAGGTTTGGCTGCTTATTATAGCTAAGAAACACTGCAGTGCCAATGCAAATTGGGTGTGGTTCACATGAAGGATGGTGCTCAATGGAAAAGTGAACCATATTCGGATACAGGCTCACACGTAATGCTGCATACAGGTTTGCAGGATGAAGGAAAGTTAAAGACGTCTCACACATAACATGAATCAAATGTCAAATTTCATAGCACCACAGTATGTTTCAGGCAGTGTGAGAACAAAAACTCAGTGTAACAACTTTAGCACAAAGAAGTCTCAGAAAGTCTGCGTGCATCACAAGCACACAGACTTCCACACACACCTTGAGCTCAGGGATGTGCACGCTGGCCCCACACAATGCATAAGTGTATGCACATTGTGTGAAAGCACGAGACAAGCTGAGGGGTGCCAAGAAAGAAACTTTGTGATGACAATACTTGACTGATAAATGTCATTGTTACGACTATCAACTGGATAATCAACAAATATATAAAATACAACACCTTTATGCATACAGATATAAAGCACGGATGGTGTGTAATGTGTCACACAACTGTGGCAAAATAGATGCGCACTTAGGAAGAGTAGTTAAATAACTTTTTTAAAAATATTCCTCTTTTGTAACTGTTAGATTACGCTTTTAAGGATGCAATCCTTACACAAAAATATACATAGTAACTCCGTCAGTGTATTAACTCATACCCTCTGGAATCTACGCCTTGCCTTAAACAGGTAAGATAGCACTGTACATTCGGCCCAAGGATTCTTAATTGTTGCCACCTCAGCGGCTAACTGGTCACAATGCTTAGCTACTGACCTGAAAGATGCAGATTTGACCCCAACTGCAGCAGTCGTATTTCAATGCAGGGGAAATGCTAGAGGACAATTTACTGAGCGGCATTAATGCACATTAAAGTACTCCAGGTGGTCAAAGTAATCTCCAGCCCTCCACTATGGCACCTCGCACAGTTGAAGATGTTTGGAACATTAAACCAAAAAATCTTCAATCAAATGCCTGCCTGAGTATACGACTGACAGAATACCAGTCAAAAGACATCTTCAAGGTTGACACACTTTCTAGAAAAGATGCCGATCTCATGTCCCTGTTTTTTTTTTTTTTGGGGGGGGGGCATTTCTGTCTGAGCAGCAGCACAATAGTATCACATTTCCTTCTAAGATTTCAGGTCATTTTAAATAGCGCTATACCAATCTGAAGCAATAAAATGCACTCAAGTCAAGCCAGAGGTATCATGAAGCTTCATTGGCATGCCAAAAAATACTTCATGTGCTTTGCTTAGAATGATGGTTACCCATTACACATGAAGAGCACACATGAATTATTCCCGACCAGCATGTTCTTCGATATGGTTTGTTTTATAGCATTGCAAAAACCACACAATAGGATGCATTGTATCATGTTCTTAGGCCACCTGCCTTGAAATTTTATTGAACAGTAAAGTAGTCTTCAGCACTTCAAAGTGCTACAAACTAAAATTATGAAAAGCAGCAAGAACTGGCTCATGGGTGTCCTTGGTTTTAATAACTGTAGGTACAAGGTGCAACATAATTCTCAAGTGTGTTTACTGCATTTTACTCACTCATGTTCCTTGCAACAGGTTAATGAACAATTAAAATTTTCTAATCACTATTTGTGACACTTGTAACAATACCTCACAAACAAGACCATCGTTCTAACTCACCAGATCAAACCTTCAAAGATGTTTTGAATGAGAAAGTATGATTGGGTCACGATGAGGACCAATGTCACATGTGTCCAGGCAAACTTCAAAGAGAAAAAGGAAAAAAAAAAGAGAGAATGCATTAGCATATATTTCACACACCTGAAGAATTGCCTTGATGTACTTACCAAAGAGAATTGGCGCATGTAATATTTCTTTACAAGGCTCAACACGAACCAGATGAAACCCAGCAAGTATAGGCAAAATGAAATGAAGCGGTGGTAGCGCACAAGTGGCTTCAGTGAGTCCTAATGAAAACAAAAAGGCAAAAAACATTCACCGGCCATAAAACAATATTGTTAATAGGGTGAGGAGATTTGATAAAAAGAGGGCAGTAAAGGTTGGTTTGGAAAGAGTGTATAGCCTGCTTTTTTTACAGGGGTAAGAAGAAATGAGACAGACAGAGACAAAGCAGATGGCAGATGACATTGCTATAATAAAAAATGCCAGACCTGCACGGAACATGCACTGTCACAGCGAAAGCTCGAAGAGCGGCCTCTTCAGAGCCTTTTCTCAACACTCTTTGAGTAACTGCTACAAGCACACTTGCAGGGTACCCCTTGCGGCATAAATAATCATAATTTTTGTGTAGTAGGGTGGCATTCACCATGCTATCCTTCATCATTCTTGGGAGAAGTGTGGCATCTGCTACACACTTGCTAGGAATAATGTGAATATTTTTATGCAGTGCCTGACGACGAAGAATTATGTCTGATGGGTATGCACCACAGTTAATAGGTGAATAAGAACAAGCTTTTGTAATGGGTTGGATCATTGGACGTCCCACTCTTAACGCGATTTGCATTGTGCGACGCCTGGTTGTTCATTTTATGTTCTAAAATGCTTTATTACTCATATTAGTGCAACTCCTTTCTCTAATTGAAGCCTGCCTAAGGCCAATTTTGAAATGAGTTTCAAGCGGCGGCGTGGCTCAGTGGTAGAATATTGGACTGGCACGCAGCGGACCCAAGTTCAAATCCCATTGTGTCGTTGCTGTTGTTTATTTACCAAGTTTTTTTTTTCTTATTTCTTGTGATATTGGTTACGGACTCCGGTGGCGGCAAACATCTATAGCACCGCACGTGAGCTGTGTTATGATCTCATAATAGCTCTTGCTGTAAAATAAGTTCCTAGCATGTGCATGTCCCATATCTAGATATGTGCTACAGATGTATTCCTTGCACGAGCATTGTGTAAACACAAAACTATCTCTGGCACTCTCCAGCAATTTTAAATATACACGTGTTACCTACATCATGTTAGTGAATGGATGTTTTGACTAGATCTTAGTTCTTTTCATTTTCTTATTAGAGTCATAAATGGCTTCGGCTTTCATTTTGTAGCACTCAGCTGGCCTCCAAACTGCCAACACATGACAAGAATAATGTTCGCTTGAGCTTATTAGTAGCACACAATAATAAGGAGTTCCAGCAGCAAGAACTCATGAGGACAGAAACGGTGTACCGTATTTATTCTGTCCTTGATGGTGCAGCCTGTTGAAAGTCCACACAAAAGATGTCACACTAGCTTACAGATAAAAGGGAAATTTAACTTCACCTTAGAATGCATAGCTAGTTGCCTGAGTGGATGCTACTTCATATCTCAATTATGTCAATTTTTCAAAAACACATTAAACAGTCCCAGAAGATCATTGGGCCTGATAATACTGATCATTTGGGAAGCCTAATAACTTAATTTTATGTTCTTCTAATTTGTTCCACCAATGTAGACCAGTTTTAATAATAATAATTGTCGGGCGAAGTGACACAGCGCTTGCAGCTCGAATAAACAAAAACGAGCTGCCGGCAAATGCCGGTGCTCGGAACATATATGGACTGGCTACGGTGGTGTTGTCCGGGAACCGCGCCTCCGAGAACGCGTAGTGATGTGAGCCAGAACATCTCTGTCAGCGGACTGTAGGATCGTGCGGTGGGTGCAGGCCATTGCGGTGGTCTCTGACAGCTATGGCAGCAAGCGTCTACACAACGAGCTTGAGGCTCCAATTTACGACTTCAAGTGCTCGCCACAAACTGCGACTCTGCTGTGCTAAATGACCCGACGACTATGGCGTAGCAGACCTCGACGGCTGGAGGCATTCGAGCATTGTGCCCAAACCGTAGGACGTGACCCTTTGCCTGAGAACACTGTGCACGAACTTATGAAGACCCCTGCAGCAGTGTTTATAACAGACGCGCGGGGAGGGTTTTGGCAGAGACGAATTCCGGAACATGCCGAGTGCGCATGGTACATAAACCAACTGCATATAAGTAGTCTGAGACTCACTCTCAGCAGCGACATATGGAGCCTGCTTTCTCGGTTCACACCAGAGAAAGGGGCACACACACGAACTTCACTATAATAATAATAATAATAATAATAATAATAATAATAATAATAATAATAATAATAATAATAATAATATAATAATAATAATAATAATAATAATAATAATAATAATAATAATGCTTTATTTTCCACCAATACACAGTTGATAGAGGGGGTGAGAGTAAAAGCGACTATCCACTTGATTAAGTTCTCACCCCCCTATTCACATAAGACAGTCGCGGTGACGGCAACAGAACACCACAGCTGACAAAAGTACAAAACATGTACATAACATAATGCTTCTGTTCTTAAGTATCTGTGGCATATCTAGGCTTCAGATAAATTTCAATCTTCTCACAACTTACTACACAAATATTAATAGCAAAGAACAACTATAATTTGCAGCCACATACCGTTCTGCTGATAAGAACACCAAAGTAATCCACAAGACTTTCTCCATAAAGAAAGTAATTTGTTGTCAGGAGGAAGTACCAGGACAGAGAACGAAACCAAGGAAGCCCATGCACTCGGTAGACAGCATAGCCAATGGCAATAATCTCCTGGAAGCACTTCACTTGGATTGCTAGTGTCTGTGAAAAAAGGTAGGTATTGTCACTTCAGTAGTTCCTCACATTCAACCAGCCATGAGCTTTTGCACTTTGTGCTGGAACAGGTGGACAGAGAGCACATAAATGCTTGATTGATATGTGGGGTTTAACATCCCAAAACCACCATATAATTATGAGAGACTCCATAGTGGAGGGCTGTGGGAATTTCGACCACCTGGAGTTCTTTAAGGTGCACCGAAATTTGAACACATAGGCCCATAGTATTTTTGCCTCCATCGAAAATGCAGCCACCACAGCCAGCACATAACTGCTTATGTGAATGACAACCACTCTGCACTGTGCCAATCTTAAGCCCTCTTGTCACCAAAACATTTTTTTACATAAGCTGAACTGATTTTATGAAGCAAAATGCTACGTCAAAAACTAAACTAATAGGCAATGCTTGAAAAACTTGCATATAGTCTTGCATATAGATTGCATATAGTCTGTAGAAACAAGTGTCTACAGACTATATGCAATCAATATAATATGGATGACTCCTTTCGTTGCATGCATCACATGGCAAAGCATCTTAAAGCTTTGGGCACTCATAACCTCAAGTTATGTCTGCGATATCACAACAAAATGACAAAAAAAACATTACATCTAAGATGGAAGAAATTTTTTCTTTCTTGTGAACTGGCAACGACATTATTAACATCAATATGTCAAACCATTGCAATGTGTAATGATTCAAAGGTCATCACTGCCTAAATCATACAAACAAACACACAGCACAGCACATTTATTATTATCTTTTTTTAGAAATGGAAGTGTTGGTAAATGATTAACATGCAGTTATAAACCATGTGTTTATGTTAACAAATGAGGCACTCTTGGGTGAAATTGTTCGCCAACTGCACAAAGGTAAATAATGCTGATTGATCTAGAAAAATTCAAAACATATAACAGGTTAAAATGTCTAATGTTATTGTCCGATTCTCACTTGCGATTCCCCCTCAAAGAGAGAGAGAGAGAAACCAGTGCGATAGGAGAATTAAACAACGACATTAGTTAACTCGTCTGTTGCTTTCACCTGGAATGTTTGAATTTATGCTGAAGAGCTTGCTTTTGTGCAATATCAGAGAAATCAAGAGAGCGAAAGGTGGCCTTACTAGAATCATTAGAGCCAAAGGTCCCATCCAAATGACAAGTGCGAAAAATGACATCATTAGCAGGGTGAAGATTCCTCTGACGACCCAGTTTCTCCATCTAGCGAACCAAAACAAGCAGACAAAGCACATAGGTAAACAAATGTCAGCGAGATCACACTGTTAATGAATAAACGCAGCTGCTCACCAAGCTAGGACAGCAAAAGACAGCTCTTAAAGAGCACGAACCTTTTCGAAAGGCCACTCAGGTAATTGTCCAAAACAGCTGTGGTTTCGTCAGTCGCCTGAGGCAGGTCTTTCGTCAGGTTGTCCACTTGGCTTTCCTCGGGAAGTTTTTCGTCGTCCGAGTCGACTGCATGCTCCTATGTGGGCAGCATCATGAGAATTCACCCACAACGTGCAGCTTCAGCTTGCAGATTCAATGGATAACGCTCGAAGCCAGCAATACCTTCTTCTACACTCCCGCGCGCGCGACATCACAACTGAGTGATGATCACAAGATCATCTCTTCAAATCGCACTGAGCATCGCCTCCTTACTGCTTGCCAAGTCTACCTATTATGCGACACCGATAAACTAGGCACAAACCCGAAACCAACATCGTGCGGGGCGATATTAAGCAGTCAAAATATTTTGCAAAATGCTTGTAATGATCCCTGTATGAAAAAGCGCCGATCATTCAAGGAAGCCAAGCGAGCTCAAGGAAATGGTGAATGTACAAATGTGCGAGAAAACCTGAACTGTGACTTCGGAATACGACCGATAAGGTGATTTACACGACAGAGCTCTCTACAACTGGGGGATCGCGCCTGGGGAGTCCAACACGGACACAACGCTTACCTTCGATTCTTTCTGTTCGGAATCCGTAGCTCTCTTCCGAAGCTCGGACATGGTTGGCTGCGTACGCGGAACTAGATTCTCAGTAGCTTGTTTCTAATGTCGTGCCCGTTTCGAAATTATTAAACTTCCCTGGGCCCTGCGAAGCAAAGAATAAGCGTTCGAAACCAGCACCGCAGCTCTCTGTTTGTTAGCATCGATCCATTTTACCGCAACGATTCCAAAGCTAGGGCGCCAGCACGCATGCTCAGCACTCGAGCAGCTGAGGAGGATGCACTGGAGAAAACGTAGTTCCCGGGAATGTCGCTAGTGCAGCGTTCACGCGTCTGCGCGACTACGTCACTTTCACCACTTTCGTTCTTCGGGAAGCGCGCGCTATTGAAAATCGAAATCACCTCCAGAAAATATACGATAAAAAAAAAAAAACTCAAACGCGTTACTCACGAGTTCAAAAGGACTTCCGGCTAAGCGTTTGGAAAAATGAATGTTCCTCTTAAAGGTAAATTCTGACTGAAGGAGCATTGCTAATGCGGAAGCGCCAAATAGTGGCGCCAACGCCAGTTGCTGGATACGCAATATACGCAATAAGCAATATGCTACGCAGTAGGTAAAAGGTTGAAGATACGCAATAGGCCGAAGGTTGGCTTGGCGTTTGCGTAGTTGTTGCAACATTAACTTTTTATACGTGTGCACATATAGTCTTGTGAACTTTTCATGCATGAATTTTCTCTTCTTACGTGTGACATGGATTGTATCGTGTCTGTGCTTTCTTTCTCCATATATAGTGGGAGCTTTGTCTAAATTGTGTCCAAAGGGGCTTTCTGGGCTTACATGGAATTTTTTTTTTACCAAATCGCCGAGAAATATCGTTCATTAAAATTAGGCAACATATTAATAAAAAAAAAAGAAAACGTCGTTACAGGGATATATTTCACTGCACAATAAGTTACGACTGCAACTTAATAGAAAACACATAGGCTGGAATTACCGTAGACATGCGCAAGCGCACAGTTGCGGCACACTTGCAGTAAGCCTGACGCTTTCTCCCTAATAGGTTTAGCCACACGCAATCTGGAACTGCCATCTGAGAAAGAAAGCGGACGAGACACGTTAATTTGCGACGTTAACCAAGGAAACGCAGACCAACATGTGGAGAATTGGCATGATTAAGAAATCCGCACTAGAGAACTATTGAACTTTTAAGCCGGAAATCGCCAAGGAAAGGATCTATGATAATAATTGGGGTAGTTCCCTACTGTTTGAGGCCAGGACGGGAGTATTGCGAAGCATGACTTATCGGGCAAAATACGAAGGGGTAGACACAATATGCAGTGAGTGTGGAAAGGAGGAAGAAACTGTCAAACACCTCATAATGTTCTGTAAAGGGCGCTACCCTATAGTTCAGGATGATGGCGCAGAGTTTTTGAAAGCACTGGGGTTTGGGGACAGGGAGAGCAAAATAGACTTCAAGCGGGTAGAAATAACTAGAACGAGATTATCTGATTGGTGGCTAAAATCAAGGCACGAGTGAAAATTAAATCCTTCACTGCGAAGTACCATGCAGTCTTCAACTTCACTATTTAAAAGAAAAAAAAGATAAATCTAGTTTTTGATTCACCAAGTATTACGGATAGGTGACGTTAGCCGCCTATCCGAAAGGTACATCCATATTAATCCATCCATCCATACAGGGGGAGGACGAGGGTGCACTCGCCACCTTTCCACGAGCTGCCTCGACATAGTAGACTAATTGCCAAAGTTTTACAAATGAACATTTTATCAATTACTTTAAATTTATATACCGTGTGTGTGGAATAGGAGTATAAGAAAGAGTGTAAATTGGTCTTCGATAAACGCTTAGATAAATGGACACGTTGCAGAGCTTACTACCATAAACACAGCACCAATTGTGTTAACCCATCACATGATCTCGATTTCACAAACGCTTCAATCATGCATGCACGCGGGCACTTGCTTTCATTGTCCATTTTACTTAAAGATGATGGCTTGATCAAATGGCACAACTTTCGCTAAACGCTAATGAACATTAGAGGGCTGTCTTTTTATCAAGCAACACACCTATGTACGCAAAGAGAGACAGAGGGGGGGGGGGGGGGGGGAGAAAGCAACCAAATTGAGCGGGAACTCTCTTAACTGGAGCTGTTCAAGATACGAAATAGGCTGAAAGTTGGCGTGGCGTTTGCGTAGTAGTTGCAGCATAAGCTTTTAATACGTGTGCACATGTGGTGTTGTGGACTTTTCATGCATGAATTTTCTCTTCTTACGTGTGGCATAGATTGTATCGTGCCTGTGCTTTCTCCATTTATATAGTGGGAGCTTTGTCTAAATTGTGTCCAAAGGGGCTTTTTGGGCATACATGGACTTTTTTTTTTTACCATATCGCCGAGAAATGCCGTTCATTGAAATTAGGCAACATATTGATTTAAAAAAGCGTCGTTAGAGGAATATTGCATAATGTGTTGTGCATTGTTGTGCTTGCCCCCCCCCCCCCCCCAACCACTCTGCACACACAAGCACTTACTGTCGAGGAAGGAAAAAAAATCTTTACAGCACTCGTACGGCAGACGCAGTCCACCTGATTGCAATTTAGATGAATGCACTTTCCTCGCTCCGTGGAAACGGTGAGCGCTGCCACCAGGAAGCGGCGATACAGGCGAGCCCATGTTGGCTTCTTACCACGAGTATTCTGCCCATGAGGTACAATTTGCGGCAAAAGTTGCCAGTGGTCTACATCCCTCCCTGACTGCGCCCTCACTTATCTTCTTTAAAAGGCCCTACATATGACTAAGCTTGTAATTGCTGAAAGGCTGTAAATGTAGAGTGGAAATGTATATTTCAAACTTTCATGACGGCAAAACAGCGCGACAAACTAAGACACAGGAAGACAGCACCAAGCACTGACTACCAACAGCGCGTTTGTATGGGTCAACACGAGTATATTTTCGCGCTGTTCTGCAGAAGCCATGTCAACAGGCTCAGTCCCATGGACGCCACTCAACTTTCCCGCAAACTTACTTACAGCATGCATTATACCACGGTCGTATATGTCATTATGAAGTATCGATTAGCTTATTTAGTTATTACTGGTAAGATGACTTTCAAAGTTTACTGCTGCAAGTTTTACAGGCACCTACATTACACAGTATATGCCGATCATAATAATAGTAATTGTTGTCGTTTAACGTCCCAAAACCACGATATGTGATTGTGAGTCGCCGTAGTGGAGAGCTCCCGAAATTTCGACCACCTGGAGTTCTTGAACGGGCGGATATATATCTAAGTATACGGGCATCGAGCGTTTGCACCTCCGTCGCAAATTCGGGACCCCTGTGGCGGGTGTATGACGGCTCGCCTCAATAGCACTGCGCGCTACGATTAATCGGGATCGATTGCTCGACCACGGCCGCGTTAAATGTGCTGGGAATACAGAATGCGAAAAACTATACCTATAGATATTTAGATGCTCGTCGAAGACCTCAGAGTGTAGCTTAAAATTATTTAAACTCCCTGTTAGCTTCTATTATTGCGCACGTGCATGATAGCCTTGCACTATATAGTATCGCACTCGGACGAAAAAACAACTCTACTGAACGAAAATAACGACGTCTGGGTTTCCTTGTTAATGCCCAAAGAGCCGGGAGCTCCCAGGATGACCAGCACACCTTGATAGCGCCTATAGTCTCAGGGAAGCCTATGCCTTGGGTCATCGTCACAATGCGCAGCCCATTTCACGTACACTACAGCACGAATGACCTCCAATTTACCGCATCTTATGCGGGCCGATTTCGTTTTATTCCCGCTAGTTTGTTGAAAGAAATGCTCGAAGATGCAACAAGCCACTCGTGTTATGCAGGCGCCTTCGCGAGATCACATAACAATGAGGTTACCAGTTCAAGAATATAGTCATCTTTCTTTTTCTTGGGATAATAAATGGTGCACCACTTGCAAAGTGGAAGAGTCGTTCACAAAATTTTGGTGCCACATTTCTCCTTTTAATTTTTAGTCAGGTGACATCTCCTTCATGCTTATATATATATATATATATATATATATATATATATATATATATATATATATATATATATATATATATATATATATATATATATATAAATGTGTGTGTGTGTGTGTGTGTGTGTGTGTGTTCTATGGACGATAGAATAATCATTTTCCTTCATGAAAATTTTATATTTTATACCTCATATTAACCGCCGGTTTAACGGCCAATCGCTCGTATACGTGCCACATGTAAGAAGAAGACGACGTTTAATGAGAAGGAGGAGAGGTCGGCCTGGAAAGCGGGTTTCTAGCCCTCTACTCCTCGTGGGGGTAAGGGGAAAAGGGAAAGACAGGGGAGGCCATGGTGAGGGGTGATTGTGGCATAGCCCAATTAGTCACTGCACACACTGTCCCGTTTGGGGTAGGATAGACACAAACGTCTCTGTACATTAGCTATATTAGCACGTGCTTTAAAGACGGGACTCTAAACATGTCTTGCTTAGAAATGTGAGCACACTCCCAAGCACGCGACAGACTCTCTTCCGAAAAGGGTCAGCAGTCGTCTATAGGCGATCTGTGAGACCCTTTGGTGTTTGTCTTTCGGCCGCGTATTGAGGGCACACGCACAGGATGTGATTAATAGTCTCTGACGTGTGACACCCACTACAGTTAGGATTTCACTCCTGTCCAATCTTAAATTGCTAGGTATATCACGTATATTGCAACACCCAGCTGCAGTGTGCCACGTGTAAAGGGTGAAGCAAGCAAGGCGCCTTCGCATTAATTTCTCGGACTATCAGTTAAAGCGAAATGCGTTGCACGGTTATTTTTAATACTGTCTAATGCTGTAGAATAATGCTGTCTTTCATAAGCGTGCTTTTCATTCGTCGTAGCAGAGGAGGCATGTAACTGGTGGCTGCTACCAAAAGAATGTAAGCACGTGTTTAGAGCAACTCGAGAAAAGAATTGTTGTGGCAGCCCTGTTCGAAGCTACAGTAAAACCTTGTAGTTTCCTTCCATATCGGTACGAAGATACGAATAACATTGCTCACAGAAAGGCGTAAAAAAAAAAAAAAACAACGCCAGGCCTGCGCGGAAGGCGCAGCAAAGTCTCAGCGAAAGCTAGAAGAGCGGCCTTACAGAGTGTTTTCTAAACACTTATTGGGCAACTGCTGCAAGCACGCTTGCTTTATATCCACTACGGCAATAATAATAAAAATTTTGGGTAGTAGGCTGGTATTCACTATGCTATTGTTCATCA